ATCCAGGAGGTGTCGCTGCCTTCCCGCTTTGAGCGCGGCACGGAAACGCCGGAAGGGGCACAAAATCATCGGGAATGGCACAGGAACGTCGGGAATGGGACAAAATTACCGGGAATGGCACAGGAGGAACAGGGAATGGCACAAAATCATCGGGGATGGCACAGGAACATCGGGAATGGGACAAAATTACCGGGAATGGCACAAAATCATCGGGGATGGCACAGGAACATCGGGAATAGGACAAAGTTATCAAGAATGGCACAAAAGGCATTGGGAACTGCACAGGAATATCAGGAATGGCACAGAAACGTCGGGAGTGGCAAAAAAGGCATCGGAGGTGGCACAGGAACATCGGGAATGGCACAAAATCATCAGGAATGGCACAAAAGGCATTGGGAACTGCACAGGAATATCAGGAATGGCACAGAAACGTCGGGAGTGGCACAAAAAGAATCAGGGATGGCACAGGAACATCGGGAATGGCACAAAATCATCAGGAATGGCACAAAAGGCATTGGGAACTGCACAGGAATATCAGGAATGGCACAGAAACGTCGGGAGTGGCACAAAAAGAATCAGGGATGGCACAGGAACATCGGGAATGGCACAAAATTATCAAGAATGGCACAAAAGGCATTGGGAACTGCACAGAAACGTCGGGAGTGGCAAAAAAGGCATCGGAGGTGGCACAGGAACATCGGGAATGGCACAAAATCATCAGGAATGGCACAAAAGGCATTGGGAACTGCACAGGAATATCAGGAATGGCACAGAAACGTCGGGAGTGGCACAAAAAGAATCAGGGATGGCACAGGAACATCGGGAATGGCACAAAATTATCAAGAATGGCACAAAAGGCATTGGGAACTGCACAGAAACGTCGGGAGTGGCAAAAAAGGCATCGGGGATGGCACAGGAACGTCGGGAATGGTACAAAATTACCGGGAATGGCACAGGAGGAACAGGGAATGGCACAGGAACATCGGGAATGGCACAAAATTATCAAGAACGGCACAAAAGGCATTGGGAACTGCACAGGAATATCAGGAATGGCACAGAAACTTTGGGATGGCACAAAAGGAACCAGGGACGGCACAGGAACATCGGGGATGGCACAGGAACGTCGGGGATGGCACAAAATTATCGGGAATGGCACAGGAACATCGTGGGTGGCAAAGGAACGTCGGGAATGGTACAAAATTATCGGGAATGGCACAGGAGGAATAGGGAATGGCACAAAATCATCGGGAATAGCACAAAAGGCATCAGGGATGGCACAGAAATGTTGGGAATGGCACAGGAGGCAGCAGGAGTGGCACAGGAAAGTCGGGAATGGCACAGGAACGCCGGGAATGGCACAAAAGGCATCAGGGGTGGCACAGGAACATCGGGAATGACCCAGAACCATCAGGAATGGCCCAGAATCAGAAATCTCCAGAAGTGCAGCAGGCAGCAGCTCGGTGCCAGCTGGAGGTGGGAATCGCCCCTTTTCCTGCCCAGTGATTTGGGGTCAGGGCTGAAAGTGGGAATTGCCCCCCTTTTCCCGCCCCATGATTTGGGGTCAGGGCAGGCATTCCAGGCACCGGGGACCCAAACCAGAGCCCCAAAGCCACCCCACCGTCACCTGGGGGTCACCTGGAAGCCCAGGGGTGATGTTCCCCCGTCCTGTGGGCCAGGGAATCCCAGCTCCCACCCAAACCATTCCTCCTTTTGCTCCAGGAGCAGCACAAACAGCCCAAGCTCTTTGCTGGACATCCCACTCTGCTCCTGAAGGTTCCAGCTGACCCCGAGCTCAGCCCAGGCTCTGCAGGTGACAGCAGAGCCTCCCCCTGTCCCCAGCCAAGGGACATCCCTCAGCTCCCAGTCCTGCAGCTCAGCCCCAGGCACTGTTTCACTTTAAACAGTTGAACTGCCTATTCTGGAAGAAAATTCCGGGATTTCTCCAATTCTGGGAGCTCCAGCACAAAGGCACAGACCCCTCCCAGCTCCCCTCAGACTCAGGATCACTAAAATTTGAGCCACTCCAGGGATTCTTCAGGAACCTGCCTGAAAAACAGAACTCAAATCCCCCAATCCCATTTTCCAGCTGGGATTTCCCATGAAATCACCTCCCAGCACAACCCTGCTCCTGTTTGGAATGAAAACACCACAGAGTTGGTACAAGGAGTTTTATTTTGTATCCCTGGCCAGGGGCAGGATCGGGATCAGGCGATGCTGCCGGCATTGGAGGCGATCCTGGGCCACAGATCTGCACATTCCTTGGCCACGGGGCCTGTGATGGCTGAGCCTGGAAAACAGGGACAACAACAACAGCCCAAGGTCAGTGAGGCTCACCTGATCCCACAGAAGCTGTGGCTGCCCCTGGAAGTGTCCAAGGCCAGGCTGGAGCACCCTGGGATAAAGGGAGATATCCCTGGGGATGAGCTCTGAGCTCCCTTCCAACCAAACCACTCTGGAATTCTGTGATTTAGAGCTCACAGGTGGTTCAGGGCAGCATTTCCCAGGCATAATCCCACTCTCTGAGGGGAATCTTGAGTCCTTTTTCCCCTTTGGACACAATTGCCAGGCTCACCTTTCATTTCTCCTTTGTTATTTACAATCACTCCTGCGTTGTCCTCGAAGTACAGGAACACCCCATCTTTTCTCCTGTAGGATTTCCGCTGCCTGATCACCACTGCTGGGTGCACTGGGAGGAAAAAGTGTCACAGCCCTCAGGAAAAGCACACATTCCACACTGATCCCACAGGAATCAAACCCAGATTCGGGGTGGGTGTTGTTTTGCACCTTGTATTTGTGGTGTTTTACTCAAAAGTTACACTTTATAGTCAAAAATCCCATTAAAGCTGACATGAAATACCTGCTCCACCTCCATTTGGAAAATCCAGGGTTTTCCTAGTTTTGGACTTTTATTTTGAAATAAATTATTAATTCACAAACAATATTCAGCAAAAACTCCTCTGGAGCAGGAGCAAACCCATGGCAGGGGGTGCACCTGGATGAGATTTAAGGTTCCTTCCCATCCAAATCATTCCATAATTTTTAATTTTATGGATCCATGTGACATCATTTCTCTTTTACTGATGGACAGCTGGGCTCAGGAGGGGATTTAGGGAAGGAATTCCTCCCTGGCACGGGTTACCAGAGTAGCTGTGGCTATCCCTGGATCCCTGGAAGTGTCGAAGGCCAGGCCTTGGAGCCACCTGGGGCAGTGGAACATGTCCCTGCCCACGGATGGGGTTGAAGGTCCCTTCCCACCCAGCCCACTCCAGGATTCCCAAACCCCGTGTCCCACCGCTGATTGAAATCAACAGCACCAGCAGCTGCCGCTTCACCCAAAAGCGGCGCCTTTGCTCTGCCCTTCCACGACAACTCCCTGAGCCACGGCACGGACCCAACGAGTGCTTTAGAGAAGGGTGGGGGGGTGACTCGGGGATTCTCCAGGGACAATTCGGGACGGCAGTGGTGGCACTCACCCTTCTTCCTCAGCTCCGGCTTGCCCTTCTTCACCGTGGCCATCACCATGTCACCCACGCCGGCGGCCGGCAGCCGGTTCAGGCGGCCCTTGATGCCCTTCACGGAGATGATGTAGAGGTTCTTGGCCCCTGCGGAGAGCGGCGCCGCCGTTATCCCGGGACACCGGGGAGCAGCGCCGCCCTTATCCCGGGACACCGGGGACACGTCCCACTGCAGGGACACCCCACAGCGCTACCACCACCATGGGCCCAGCGAGAGATTCCAGAGGGAAAACGGAGGTTTGGGAATTCAGGGAACACCTCACCGTGAGGTTACTGAGGGGGCCTTTCCCGAGGGGCTCTCCCGGTCCCTGAGGGGCTGCCCCGGTTCCCCGCCCGTCCCTCCCGCCGCCCGCACGGTCCCAGTCCCGCACTCACCGGTGTTGTCAGCACAGTTGATCACGGCCCCCACCGGGAGACCCAGCGAGATGCGGAACTTGGCCCCGGACGAACCTCCACGTCCTGCGGGTCGAGAAGAGCGTTAAGAGCCCGGTACCGCCTCACGGAGCGGCCGCGGCCTCACGGGGAGGGCGACGACGCCACGACCCGCGATATCCGCTCCCGCCCGGGCTCAGGCGCCTCTTCCCGGGTCCCCGCTGCGCCGGGGCGGCCACGGGGACGCCGGATGGCGGCGGATGGAGCCGGATGGCGGCGGAGAGCGGCGCCAGCCTCACCTCTCTTCGACATCTTGGCGGCGGAAGAGGCGGCGGACGTCACGTGACGCGCCCGCCCCGCCTCTCTCGGCAAGGGGCGCTCCCTAGCGGCGCCGGGAAACGCGGCACCCTCACCGGCACCGGCGGCACCGGGAGCACCGGGAGGGAGCGACGGGGACGGAAAGAACGACCACGGATAATTGGGGAGAGAAAACTTGGGATGAAGGGAGGAAAAAAAAAAGAAAGCAAAATAAGGGGGCACCCGGATTTGAACCGGGGACCTCTTGATCTGCAGTCAAATGCTCTGCCACTGAGCTATACCCCCGCTGCTTGGGGAGGGCGGCTGGGTAATATTTTAGTGCTTACTCCGCGCTGTTCTGTGCGTGAAATGGAGGCTACGCGCGTGCAAATGTGGCCCGCCCGCCTCAAACCTCCCCCCCCCAATACCCCGGAAATACCGACAAAAAACCGAAAAAACGGGTAAAAAGAAAACACTCTTCGAGGGGGCACCCGGATTTGAACCAGGGACCTCTTGATCTGCAGTCAAATGCTCTACCACTGAGCTATACCCCCGCCCGCCGCGTGCTCCGCGGGGTATTCCCTCTACTGCCGTCGCGGACCCAAAGGTCCCCGGTTCGAGTCCCACTGAGCCCTCAATGCAAATTTCTTGTGGTTTTTACGTTGTTTTTAGCCCTTTTTAGGGGTGTTTCAGCTCGACGCTGCCTCCCTGGGGGTGTGCGCCCCGCTCGCACGCGCGTTACGTGTGTGCGCACGCGTAGGTGCGCGCCCCGCCCCCGCGGTCCCTCCCCTTTCCTTTTTCCCACCGCCTCCTCCCCTTCCCGACTATTTAAAGTCGCGACATCGCGGGCGGCGGCTCAGTGGAAGAAGAAGAAGGCGGCCGAGGAGGGTGGGAGTTATTTTTTTTTTATTTTTTTTTTCCCCCTCCACGCGAGTTTTCCGCCATGAATCCCAACTGTGCGCGCTGCGGGAAGATTGTGTATCCCACGGAGAAGGTGAACTGCTTGGATAAGGTGAGCTCCGCGGGGTGGCACGTGGGGACGGGGACAAGGATTTGGGGGTTTTCCCATAGGATCGCCTCTGCATGGGATGGTTTTTCCCCTCACTCTCATTCCCTGAAGAGTTTTCCGTGGGATCTCGTTATTTTTTGGGGTCCCCGATAGGATTCCAGCCTCCCTCCACCCGCGGGTGGCACTTCCTTATGGACGCGGCTGTCCCCCCGCCCTATTCCCGGGAATATTTCCACGCTTCCCACTCCAAACCCCGCTTTTCCCGGGGGGATTTCCACGCTGGATCCCCTCCTGGTGGTACCCCAGGAGATCTGGGTCCCTCCCACCCTCATTTCCCGGGGATATTTCCGTGTTACCCCACCGTGTCCTGGGGGTCCCTGGAGCCCCCGGTGTCCCCATGGTCCCCAGGGGGAGGGGACAGGGACGGAGCTCTTTGCCCTGGGGGCTCCGGCAGTATCCCCAGCTCTTCCTTCCATAGCAAATATTTCTGTTTATTGGAATATCTCCCATTGAAAGGCGGCACATCCGTGTGGAGGCCCAAGGAAAGCAACAGTTAACGCTTCCCTGAAGCCGGCAACCTCATCTGGTTTCCATTATCGAGCTTTTTCCCCTTTTTTTTTTTTTTCCTCTTCTTTATTTTTTCCAAATCTCCCATCCCAGTTGCTACTTCCCTGTTCCAAAATCCCATCCCTCCACTCCAGGGCTGCCTCCCTTAACCTGGAATATTTTTTTGGAGTATTTTATCCTCAAAACCCAAGCTCTGGTGGAAGCTGGAGGTGGGGAAGGTGATGGTGGGGCTCCATTCCCGCTGCTCTTCCCATGGGATTTCCTTTACTCTCCTCCCCCTTCTCTCCCAGGCTTCTGGGACAACCAGTTTAGAGACTAAAAAAAGTAACTGGGAAAAGAACACTCCGCTCTCCAGCGGCATTCCTGAGCTCCGGCAGACCCTGTTGCTCGCATTTTTAAGGGATGATGCTTCTTCCTGAGGCCGGGAATGGCTGGGAGCTGAACTATCACCCCTAAATCCTGGGATTTGGGGCTCTGAGTGGCTCTGGGCCCTGGGAGCCTCCAGGAGCTGCTGGGTGTTGGGATTGGGGACAATGGGAAGGGAAAAGGGGTTGGGGGCATAACTGGAAGGGAAGGGGGGTTTGGGATTTTTGGATATTTAGAAGGGAAAAGGGCTTGGGGGCTGTAGATATTTGGAAAGGAAAAGGGTGTTTGGTATTGTAGATATTTGGTAGGGAAAGGGGTTTGGGGTGGTGGATATTTGGAAAGGAAGAGGGGTTTTGGGATTGTGAATATTTGGTAGGAAAAGGGGTTTGGGATTGTGGGTATTTGGTAGGGAAAGGGATTTGGGGGTTGTGGATAAAAGGAAGGGAAGAGGGGTTTTGGGTTTGTGGATATTTCAAGGGAAGGGGGATTTGGGATAACTGGAAGGGAAAAGGAGTGCTGGGATTGTGGATATTTGGAAAGATTTGGGGATTGTGGATATTGGGAAGGAAGGGGAATGTTGGGGCTGATAGGAAGGGGAAAGGGGTGCTGGGATTGGGGATAACTGGAAGGGAAAAGGAGTGCTGAGATGGGGGATATTTGAAAAGATTTGGGGATTGTGGATATTTGGAAGGGAAGGGGGATTGGGGATAACTGGAAGGGAAGGGGAGTGTCAGGGTTGAGGCTGACCGGGAGGGAAGGGGGATCCCAGGATTGCCGGCAGGGAAGGGGATGAGCCGTGGCTCCCTGGTGCTCCTGAGCTCCAGGGGAGGCTCTGTTCCAGCTGTGGGGGCCGGCAGGAGCCCGCAGTCACCATCTTGTCCTCCTCGGGCTCCTCAGCCACTTCCTCTTCCGAAGAGCCGGGGCTCGGCCCGCTCGTGGTGCGGCTCACCCCGCCCCGGAGCGCCTCCGGCTGCCCTTTTCCCGGAACGCTGCCCCAATTCCCATAAAACCGTGGGCAGGCCTTGGAGTGCCTCTGGCCCTGCTTGGAATTCCTGTGTCCCTGCTTTTCCTGGCCCTTGGAATTCCTCTGGCCCTGCTTTTCCTCTCTCCCTGCTTGGAATTCCTCTATTCCTGCTTTTCCTGGCCCTTGGAATACCTCTCTCTGTCCCTGCTTTTCCCAGCCCTTGCAATTCCTCTATCCTTCCTTTTCTTGGCCCTTGGAATTCCTCTATCCCTCTTTTTTTCTGGCCCTTGGCTACTCTGTCTGTCCCTGCTTTTCCCAGCCTTTGGAATTCCTCTACTCCTCCTTTTCCTTGCCCTTGGAGTACCTCTCTCTGTCCCTGCTTTTCCTCTATCTCTGCTTTTCCCAGGCCTTGGAATTCCTCTCTGTCCCTGCTTTTCCTGGCCCTTGGATTTCTTGTGTCCCTGCTTTTCCCAGCCTTTGGAGTTGCCTCTATCCCTGTGTGGAGTTCCTCTCTCTGTCCCTGCTTTTCCCAGCCCCTGGAGTCCCTGTCCCTCTCCTGTCCCTGTTTTCCTGGGCAGAGTCCGAAGGGCACAGCCCCAACTTTGGGATGTGCCTTTGCTCCCAGAACCAGGGAATCCCCACTTCCCTTTGGGATTTATGGAAAACCCAGAGTGTCACCACCTCCCCACAGCCCTGACCTGCCCTGAGTGGCCTTGGGGACATCGCTGTCCCTGCCCCCACGGGGACAGTGCCACTGCTGGCTCTGGCTTCCGCAGGGGAAGTGGCACCCGAGGGCTGGGCTGGGCTCACCCTGAGCTGAGTCTCACCCTGGGCTCGTCTCCTTCAGCCCAGGGGGTTCCTCTGGCTGTTATCCTCAAATCCTGGGGCTCCAGGTTATGGGGTTTGCCCCCCATGTTATGGGGTTTGCCCCAGGTATGGTGCAAAGGTTTTGCCCGGTGGGAAAAGAGAAGCTGTGGCTGCCCCTGGATCCCTGGAAGTGTCCAAAGCCAGGCTGGACAGGGATTTGGAGCACCCTGGGACAGTGGAAAATGTCCCTGCCCATGGCAGAGTGGCACTGGATGAGTTTGAAGGTCCCTTCCATCCCAAATGACTCCATGATTATAAATCTAAGGAATCCTTTATTTCCCCAGCATGGATTTTCTCTGACCCACTCACCTGCATAACCTGGAAAGTTTTAGAGCTGTTTTCCTTTAAATCTGTCATTTTTCACTGAGGTTATGTTGTCAGAAGAGTTTCCAAAATGTGTGTTCACACTTAGAACTAAAATCCTGTCCAGCCTGCTGGGATGTGGGGTCACCTGGGATCCCCTCTGGGCTCAGGATTGGGAAGCACAGGGAGTTCATCCTCCCCCAAACCCCATTTGGATCCTGTCCTCTTTCCAGAGCGAGCAGAACGTTCCTGGAAGCTGAAATAACTCCTGCTCCCCTGTGTCCAGCCCTGCTCCAGCCTCCTTTTAGTGCTGCCTCAGATTTTGTGGATCCAGCATTAATTCCACTCCGTCTGTGAGACAGGGAACGTGGCAGCGAGGCTGAGGACAGGGAAAATGCTCCATGGGCACTTCCCAAGGGATCCCAGATCCTAAATCTCTTCCCAGGTCCCTTGGGAGGTACCTCGGGGTGGGAATGGCCCTGCTGAGCAATTCCTAGTGGGAACTGGGGCAGGAGTGTGCTGGGAATGCTCTGGGATGGGGGCAGAGCCTGCCAGAGTCCTGCTGTGGGGTGGGATTGGGATCAGAGGGATCTGCAGGATCTCAGATCTCCCTGGATTTGGGATTGGGGTTGTTTCCCTGCTGAATCACAGGGATTTGCTGTTCCTGGATTTGGGATTGGGATCAGAGGGATCTGCAGGTGTTCCTGGATTTGGGATTGGGGTTGTTTCCCTGCTGGATCAGAGGGATTTGCTGTTCCTGGATTTGGGATTGGGATCAGAGGGATCTGCTGCTGTTCCTGGTTCTGGGACTGGGATTCTTTCCCTGCTGGATCGGAGGGATTTGCTGCTCCTGGATTTGGGATTGGGGTTGTTCCCCTGCTGGATCCCAAGGATCTGTTGCTGTTCCCAGATTTGGGATTAGGGTTATTTCCTTGCTGGATCAGAGGGATTTGCTGCTCCTGCATTTGGGATTGGGGTTTTTTCCTCTGCTGGATCCCAGGGGTCTGCCGGCTGTGCCAGATCCTCCTGGGAGCTGGGACATTCCTTGAGGAGAAGGCTCTGGCGTTGGTGCTGCCTCTCAGTTTCCCCCCTTGCAGATCCACAGTGCCATCCCTGGCAGCTCCTCAGCCCCAAAAACTCAGGATCCGGGTGCTGATCCATCCTGCAGGAGCCCAAAAAACTGGGAAAGGGGCAAAACCACCCTGGGAAGGGGATGGAGGAACAAAGCCCCTGCAGCTGGAGGAACAAATCCGTGTCTGAGAGCAATTAAAAGGAGGAGAATTGTCCTCTCCAGGGCTGAGTCACGTCCCCAGAGCCTGGCAGTGTTTGTGCATGGGGTGTGGCACCTGGGGAGGTGACAGCAGGGCTTGGTCCCTGTGGGGACACAGATCCAGGCTGGCCTTGGAGAGGGGAATCGGCTGCTCGAAGGGTTTAAAGTGGAAATCCCAGCAAAAAGCAGCAGCTGGGCACTCTGGGTGTGATGGCTGAGTGTTAAAGGACACTAGTCTGTGCTCTAATTAGTGCTTGGAGCTGCTAATTGGAGTTTTGGTGGAGTTTTGCCTGATTTTTTGGGGGGCTGACCTAGGGCAGGACTGAAGGTTTTGCTCCAGGCTGTGCTTTCCCTTTTTCCCTGCTCCAGGAGGAAATTCCCATTCTTCTCTGGGCCCCGGGAATTCCCACAAATCCCCGTGGAAAAGTGGAGTCTGGACTCTGGCAGGACATTGAACTCCGTCTGTGCGACCTCAGAATGACAATCAGAATAATTTTACTCCCAGATCATCAAATCCAACCTTTAGCTCCAGCTCTGAGCTGTCCTCAGGCTCCTCTCAACTCAGAGCCAAGTGGGAATAATTTCTTTAGGAGCAGCCCTAAAAAAGAACCTTAAAATTCTCCAATTTAGGGTTTGTCACAGCCCAGGGTGTGGGGTCAGGGTCTGGCTTTTTGGGGTTTGTGTCTTTCTTGTGCATCTGTGTCTGCTTCCCATGAGAACCTTTTCCTGCTTGGCTCGTGCAGCCTCACCTGACCTGCTCTTCTGGCTGGCACCGAGCAAAGAACAGCAATAAAATAAAATAAAAAACTAAACCCAAAGCAGCAGCTTTGAATCTTCAAACACAGCTGTTCCCTCTGCTGTGGTGTCACTTGCAGAAGGAGCTTTTCCTAATCATGAATTCTTGGATTTATGGAAGGCAAAAAACCTCCCCTGGCACTTGGGAAGATCAGGAGAGATGGGATTTTATCCTGAATTAACCAGGATATTCCCTGTGCTCATTTAACCAATTTTTTTTTTCATTTATCCAAAAGGATCCTGATTTCTGCTCCCCTTTCCTCGCTGGTCCTGAGCTCTGTGGAGCCAGAATATTTCTTAATATCTAAAAAAGAGCTTGGAAACCCCATTTTTGTAGCTGCTTCTTATGCAGTTCTTAGAAGGAAAATTTGGTTTTCCTGGGGTCACACTGATTTGTGCTCCCCTTTCCTGGCTGGTCCTGAGCAGTGTGGACCCAAAATGTTTCTTAATATCTAAAAAAGAGCCTGGAAATCTCATTTTTGTGCCTGCTCCTTATGCACTGGCAGTTCCCAGAAGGAAAATTTGCTTTTCCTGGGGTCACAGGTGGCACTGCTGCCATGCTGGGTGGGAGCTGTGGGGTTCCAGCAGAGTTTTGGGATCCCTTGTGCTGATGGTTAGGGTTTTTTTGTGTTGCAGTTCTGGCACAAATCATGTTTCCACTGCGAGACCTGCAAGATGACCCTGAACATGAAGAACTACAAGGGCTACGAGAAGAAGCCCTACTGCAACGCGTGAGTGCCCGCTGGGGGGGATCCTGGGGGGTTTTATGGGGGATTTTCTGGAGATCCCTGCTGTGGGAGACCATCCTCTTTGGGATCCTGCTATGGCGATCTCATGCTGTGGGATTTTCTGGGGGATCCTCCTGTGGGATCTCATGTGGGGTCCACTGTGCTGTGGGGTCTCTCTTGTGGGACCTACTGGGGGTCTCCTGTGCTGTGGGAGTCCCCTTCTGTGGGGGGACCTCCTTTGTGGGATCTCTTCCTGTGCTGTGGGACGTTCTGTGGGTCTCCTGCTGTGTGGGGTCTCTCCTGTGGGACCTTCCTGTGTGGGGGTCCCCTTCTGTGTGAGATCTCTTGTGTGGAACCCTGATGTGTGGGATCTCCTCCTGTGGGGGCCTCCTGTGGAGTCCACTGAGGGTCTCCTGTGCTGTAGGGGTCTTTCCTGTGGAAATCCTCCCATGGGGGTCTTCTGTGCTTTGGGGATCCTCCTGTGTGGGGCCCTGTTGTGTAGGCCTCTCCTGTGGGGATCCTCCTGTGTGGGGGTCTCTCCTGTGGGGATCCTCCTGTGCTGTGGGACCCTCCTGTGGGGCCTTTTGTGGGCCTTCTGCTGTGTAGGGTCTCTCCTGTGTGAGGGTCCCCTTCTGTGGGGGACCTTCCTGTGAGGATCCTCACATGGGATCTCCTGTGTGGGGCCCTGTTGTGGGGATCCTCCCATGGGATCTCCTGTGGAGTCCACTGAGGGTCTCCTGTGCTGTGAGGGTCTCTCCTGTGGGGGATCTTCCTGTGGGGTCTCTCCTGTGGGGGAATCCTCCTGTGGGGTCCACTGGGCCTCTCCTGTGCTGTGAGACCCTTCTGTGGGGCCTTCTGTGGGTCTTCTGCTGTGTGGGGTCTCTCCTGTGTGGGGGTCCCCTTCTGTGGAGGACCCTCCTGTGAGGATCATCCCGTGGGATCTCCTGTGTGGGGCCCTGTTGTGGAGATTCTCCTGTGGGATCTCCTGTTGTGGGGACCCTCCTGTGGGGTCCACTGGGGGGATCTCCTATGCTGTGGGGGTCTCTCCTGGGGTCTCCTTCTGTGTGGGGCCCTGTTGTGGGGATCCTCCTGTGGGATCCTCCTTTGGGACTTCGTGCTATAGGGGATCTCCTGTGGGGTTTTGTGGGGGATCCTCCTGTGGGATCTCCTGTGCTGTGTGAGGGTCTCTCTTGTGGGGTTTCCTCTGGGGATCTCCTCTGCCGATTTTCTGTGGGTTCTCCTGGATATTCCTCTCTCAAACTCCAGTCCTTGGGCTCTGCGGGACACCCCAAGTTCTCCAGGAGCAGGAATTCCAGAAATTCTGGAATTCCTCCAGAAATTCCCTCTGTGCAGGGAACAGACCCCGAAATTCCCTTTGTGCAAAGCTCACTAGGCCAGGCTGGGCTGGGTGCAGCCACCTGAATTTCCTGGCAGGGAAAGAATCCCAAGGTAAATAAACCTGGGAGGTGAAATCCTTGGTGTGGGGGATGGAGACGGGGCAGGGTGGAGCAAGAGCGAGCTCAGGGTCCTTTTTTTATTTCCCTTTACTTTTTTTTTCCTCTGGAACTTTTTTTTTCTGGGCCCTTTTTTTCCTTGAGCCCTTTTTCCTCTGGCCACTTTTTTTTTCTGGGCCCTTTTTTTGGAGGGGATCCTTTTTTATTTTTTCCTGGGTCTTTTTTTTTTTTTTTTTTTTTTTTTTTTCTGGGCCCTTTTTTTTTTGTCCTGAGCCTCTTTTTCCTTGAGCACTTTTTCCTCTCTTTTTCCTCTGGGCCCTTTTGCCCTTTTTTTCCTGGCCCCTTCCACCTGTTCCTGACCACTGAATGTTCCCTTCCAACCTTTATTTTTTTTCCCTTATCCAGAAGGACCCTGTGTACCCAAAATGCTTCTTAATATCTAAAAGGCAGCTTGAAAATCCGATTTTTTTTTAGCTGTTCCTTATGCACTGGGAGTCCTTAGAAGGAAAATTAAAGAATATAATTAATATAATTAATTTCTTAGTGCTGGATTAGGGTGGTCTGTTCACGGGGTGCTTTAAAAATGCTGATCCTGACAAGATCTCTGTAGGAGTCAGGGAATTCCAGGGTGGTTTGGATGAGAAGGGACCTTAAATCCCATCCAGCCCCATGAGCAGGGAGACTTTTCACCATCCCGGGGTGCCCCAAACCCACCCAACCTGGCCTGGGATATTTCAGGGATGGAACAACCTGTGAAAGAGCCTCACAGGGGGGAATTTCTTCCCAATATTCCTGATTTTACTCTTAAAAGTTTTTACTTTTGCTCTTTAAATTTACTCTTCTGAGTTACACCGAAAGGAGAAGTGGTGAGAGCAGAGCTTGGCCAGACCCTCCCATTTCCGTGGGGGTTTTTTAGGTGTTGTTTTTTTTTTTTTTTTTTTGCTGGGGGTGGCTGTGGCTTGTCCAAAATCCAAGAATTCAGCTGGGCTGAGAGCAAATTTGTTAAATTCCAATTAGGGCAGGGAATTGCATTTCTTGGGGGGGGGGGGGGGGGGGGGTCTCACCGGGGTGACAATGCAAATAACTGGTTGAAAATAAATTGATTTGTGAGGGAACAGCACCGTTGGAGCTCCAGGTTTTTGGGGAAAAAGCAGGAAATTATGGGGTCTTTTTGGGAGGGATGTGTGTGCTGAAGCAGGTGGGCTCTGCTTTTGGGGTGGGGTGATGATTTTGGGGTGGCCTGGCAGAGCTGAGCCCCCCTGAGCTGTTCTGAATGTCCTGACCCAAAATTTTCCCCCTGGCCCTGTGGGATTTGCCCATCCCCAGGCTTAGGGTCCTGTTCTGGTGCTCTCCCTGCCAGGGAAGTGGGATAATAATGGGAAATTCCTGACATTCCAAGGAGTCTGCGCAACCTCGATTCTTCTCACCCCCCTCTCTGGGGGCTCCCTTTGATGCTGCTGCTGCTTTAACCCTTCCCAGCCCGGCTCTCAGCACAGAAACTGCCCCCAAAAATCCTTTTTCCTTCCCATTTTCCTGGTCTGAAAGCAAAGGGAGCAGCTGGAAGCTGCTGGAGGATTTTCCAGTGCGTTGGGATGTGGAAAAAAGGGAAAATTTCATTTGGGGATTTGGGGTTGGTTCTTTCTCAGCTGCTCCCAGGAGTATCCTGGGACAGCAGAAACTCCAGCAGAGCTGTGCCTGGCTGGGGACATCCCAGGAGGAGCTCAGCATTCCCAAATTTCCTGCATTTGGAGGGAAAATGTCCCCTGATCCAGGAGGAGGGGGTGGAAAAGCAACGTTTATCCTGGCAGGGAAGAGGCTGCTTCTCCAAACAGGGTCCTCTCTGTTCGAGCCCGTGGCCCCCTGCCAAATTCCTGAGTTTCTTTCTTGTGGGAGAGCAGGAGGAAAGGAAGAGGGCTGGGCTTCCTCCAGCCCTGCCATAATTCCAGCAGAAACCTTTGGGAATGGCTGGGTGGCAGATGGGACGGTCCCCAGTCCCCTCCCTGTCCCCAGCTGGGCACTGGGAGGGACTGGTGGCTCACTGGGAGGGACATTCAGGGCTGGGCTGGGCTCTGGGCCTGAGCACTTGGAGCTAAAAGTGGGAGAAGGGAAAATCCAGGGAAGTCTGAGACTTATCCCAGATGAAAAGTGGGGAAAAGTTGGATACAAGAGGCAAGGCTGGAGTTCCAGCTCCAGTGCTCCTAAAAACACATTTTTTAGAGATTTTATATTAAATATATATTCTATAAATACATAAAAATATTTTTATATTTATTCTATATATATTAAATATATTTTATGAATATTTTTTAATGTTAAACTTGCTGTGCTGAGGCTGAGGGGTCAGGGATTGAGATTCCTTCCCTGCTGGATCCAGAGGGATTTGGTGCTCCTGGATTTGGGATTGGGGTTGTTTCCCTGATCAGAGGGATTTGCTGTTGTTCCTGGATTTGGGATTGGGATTCCTTCCCTGCTGGATCAGAGGGATTTGCTGTCCCTGGAGCTGGGATTGGGATCAGAGGGATCTGCTGCTGTTCCTGAATTTAGGATTGGGATTGTTCCCCTGCTGGATCAGTGGGATCTGCTGCTGTTCCTGCTCCTGGATTTGGGATTGGGATTCCTTCCCTGCTGGATCAGAGGGATTTGCTGCTCCTGAATTTGGGGTTGGGCTTGTTTCTCTGCCGGATCCCAGGGATCTGCTGCTTCTTCTGGATTTGGGATTGAGGTTGTTCCCTGCTGGATCACAAGGATCTGCTGTTCCTGCCCCTGGATTTGGGATTGGGGTTGTTTCCCTGCTGGAAATTGGGGTTGAGATTGGGAATTGGGGGTGAGATTGGGGATATGGGATGGATCCTGCTGCACCCAGAGCTGGTGAGCAAATCCCCAGTCCCACTGCTGGCCCCAAAGCAGCCCTGGGCTTGGCCTGGCTGTGGGATTGGCCTCTGCTGGTGCCAGCCAGGACACTGGGACAAATCCTGGGGAAATCCTGTCCTCCACAGAGCTGCTGGGAGCAGGTGGCCCAGCCACCCTGGAAACCCTGGGAGGATCCCAGCCCTCCCCTGTGCCCATTCCCGGTGGGGTCTCTGCAGCCTGGGCCTGATCTGGGTGCTGACAAAGGCTCAGTTTATTTTTTAAGCTCGTCCCCAGCCCTGTGAAAGGCAGGATGTGACCTCGGAGCCTCCTGGCAGAGCACAGCCAATTGCTTCCTTTGTTGAACTCTCCTCTGCTGAATCCTCCCCCAAATCGTTCCCAAATCCCTGAGCCAGCTGGGGGGTGCAGGGACAGGGAGTGTTTGCATCCAGGGCTGCTCCTGGATGCCAAAATCTGCTTTAAAACCTCAATATAAGCAACACTCGGAGCTCCTGAGGTTTTTCCAGTCACATCATCCATGGGGTTTTTTTGGGATCAGATTCAGGGTCTGCTCCCGGGGCTCCCATATCCCATCAGGATCCCATCAGGGCCATGCCAGGCTGCACTCCCAGGAGTTTTTAGTGGTGTTCCAGGATTTATCCTCATTTCCAGCTTGGGAAAAGCTCCAGAGGCAGCAGCTCATGCGTTGCTGGTTGGGATGGGAGGTTTTTTGGGGGGAAATGCTGCTTTTAGGGCAGGGATGGAATGGGGTGTGAGTTTTGGGAAATTCACCTCCATCTGGAAGTGGGATCGCTCCAAACCCCTCCTGTTGTGCAGTGGGAAATTTGGGGAATACAGATCCCATGGAAACCAGGCACAGTGCTGCTGTGGGGAGGAAGGTCTGGATTCACTCCCTGACATCCCTGTGGAATTTCCCTGCCTGGGGAGGTGCAGGAATTGCTGGTGGCCCCTGAAAGAGCCTTTCCCACCCATGGGGCTGCCGGGAGCAGGGGGATCCTTCTCCTGGAGGGATGAAATTCATCCCCTGGGAATTGCTGGGTTCCTAATGAGGGAGGGATGAACTTCCATCCCCTGGGAATTGCCATGTTCAGAGGGATGAATTTCCATCCCCCAGGAATTGCCAAGCTCAGCCTCCTTCTTCTCCCAGAGGCATGAACTTCCATCCCCTGGGAATTTCAGTGCTCAGCCCACTCCCAAGTTGGCAGGGATGAATTTCCATCCCTCAGGAATTGCCAGGAGGGATGAACTTCCATCCTCCTGGGAATTGCAGTGCTCCTGAAGCAGGAGGGATGAACTTCATCCCCTGGGAATTGCTGTGCTCACAGGGATGAATTTCCCTCCCCTGGGAATCTCCATGCTCACAGGGATGAATTTCCATCCCTGGGAATCTCCATGCTCACAGGGATGAATTTCCATCCCCTGGGAATCTCCAGGCTCACAGGGATGAATTTCCATCCCCAGGAATTGCCGGGCTCAGCCTCAGCCCGCCCCTAATGCCGGCGCCAGACGGGAGCTGAGCCCGGGGAGATTCCTCTGACCTGATTTAGCAGCGCCACAAAAGCTGCCTGCTCTGGGCTGCTGGCAGCAGGAGCTGGGGTTTTGTGGGGTTTTTTGGGGCTATTTTGGGTTTTTTTGGGGTTTTGAGGATGGGAAGGGGTCCCTCCCACTGTGGGGGTGCTGCCTATGGCGTTGTGTTTGGGGTCTCTGTGCTGTTCTGTGTGGAATCCTGAATATCCTGAGTTTAAGGGACCCTCAAGGATGATGAGGCCAACCCCAGACAGCCCAACAATCCCAGCCAGGGCGTTGTCCAAACATTCCTGGAGCTCTGGGACTCACAGGGATCATGAATCCAACCCCAGGCCCTGCACAGACACCCCAAAATCCCATCCTGTCCCTGAGATCATTGTCCAAATCCTCCTAGAGCTCTGGCAGCCTCAGGACCATGCCCATTCCCTGTGGAGCTGGGAACCTTTCCCAAAATCCAGCCTGAACATCCCAGGCACACCTTTACCCTTCCTTTATCCTGTCCCAGAGATCAGAGCTGCCTCTCCACTCCCCCATGAGGAGCTGCAGCCCCTGAGGAGTCTCCCCTCACTTTTCCAGCTGCATCCGGAGCTGGCTTTTCCTTAGGTTTCCACCTGGGCTCCTGGTGAGCTCAGGGAGGGTTTTCCTGCTCCATCCCCTGCAGGGAGCAGCTCCTCCATCCCTGTGTGTGCCTGGGGTCCATGGGATAGAAATTCCAGCAGGGAATTGTGTGCAGACTGCAGGCAGGGAGATGAGGGATGGATAAAGGGATGGAGAGATGCCAGCAGTGAGGAGAGACCTCAAAGTTCCCCACCCAATCCCCCCTGGCTGCCTGTTTAGCTCCATTCCTAAGATCTCCCTGCTCCTCTCCATCAATCCCTGGGATAATCCCTGTCTGGCTGGTGCTGGGGCTCCTCACACCCACCCTGAGCACTGCAGCAGCCACAGCAGCACCAACCCAGTGTTCCCAACACCCGCCAAAATCTGGATCCCATCCCAGATTCCATCCTGGATCCCCCTCCTCCAGCCTTGGATTCCCTAAGGGCTGAAACACCTTCTCCACAGGGAACTGGGGAAAAGCAGTGCCCAATCCCTGGGGAGGATCCCAAATCCCAAATTCCTGAAGGGCCTGGAGCTCCTCCTCCCCAGGGAACTGATGGAAAAGCAGTTCCCGATCCTGGGGGAGAATCCTGAGTTTTGTTCATCCCACACCCAGCACAGACTGCTCCCTCCTGCCTGCTCACTCAGGGCTGAGCAAAAGCTGCCTCAAATCCTTGCGAGATTTCCTCAAAATCCAAAGGAAACCTAATCCCAGCTTCATCCCTGGCTGTCTGCTGCTCCCCCAGGCTGGGCTGGAGCAGGACACAGCGCTGCATTCACTCCAGCCAGGCTGCTGGTTGTTGTTTTCTGGATTGTTTTTAATTCCCTCCTCCTCCTCCCGTGGTTTCCCCATTCTCCTGAGCTGCACAGGGATGGATTTCTGCCTTTCCCAGCCCTCCTGGCCAGCAGTGCCTGATCTCCTCCCTGTTATCAGTGCCCAGGGTAGTGATGCAGTTGCCATGGCAATGGGAGATGCTGGCTGGCAGATCAGGGATGGTGGGGCCAGCAGGAGCAGGGGGGGTCATTGTTCCCCTGGAATTGTCACTGGTGAGGCCACCCCCCAATTTAGGAGGGGCTGGAGAGTGTCCAGATGAGGCTGGTTGAGGGGTCTGGAGCACAAACCCTGTGAGGAACCCCTGAGGGAGCTGGGGGTGCTCAGCCTGGAGCAAAGGAGACTCAGGGCTGCCCCCATCACCCTGCACAGCTCCTGAAAGGTGCCTGTGCTCAGCTGGGGCTGGGCTCTGTCTGCAGGCACTGACACACCCAGAGCACACAGCCTCGAGCTGCACCAAGGGAAATTTGGGTTGGATATCAGGAAAAAGTGATTTACAGAAAGGTGATAAAGTTCTGGAATGGAGGTGGTGGAGTCCCCATCCCTGGGGGTGTTTAACAAAGCCTGGATGTGGCTCTGGGGGCCAGGGTTGAGTAGAGGGGTTGGGGCTGGGTTGGACTCGATGATCTTGGAGGTCTCTTCCAACCTGGTCATTCTGTTCTGTCCTTTGTGCTCACACCATTCCCACAAGGTCTGGAGTGGTCACCAGGACAGGAGGACACAGCCTCCAGCTGTGCCAGGGGGAGTTTGGGCTGGACATGAGGAAAAAATCCTTCGCAGAAAGAGGGAGTGGGCACTGGAATGTGATGCCAGGGAGGTGGGCACTGCCCTGGGGGTGTTTAACAAAGCCTGGATGTGGCTCTGGGTGCCAGGGCTGAGTTGAGGGATTGGAGCTGGGTTGGATTCAGTGATCTTGAAGGTCTTTTCCAACCCTGTAATTTTGTTTTTCTGTGAATTCTATCAATGCTCCGGGCTCTGGCTGAGCTGCTCTGGTTGCAGAGGAGCCTCTGCCCTTGGCTGGGCTGTGTCCCTCTCCATGCCTTTGTTCACATTGGGAATGTTGGATAAAAGCACTGCTGAGCCACAGGGAGAACCCTCAGGGTTTGTAAAAACCCCGGGCAGAGGTGCTGGGAATCACCTCACAGGGCTGGGAATGCTCTGGGATTCCCAGGGGGAATTCATGATTTGGGAATTCAGATCTGCTCCAGGTCAGGTTTCCTCCCAGGGCATTTCCTGGGAATTCTGGGGCATGGAGGGCCCTGCCAGGCTGGGAACGCTCCTCTTGCTCCAGGCAGAGCTGTGGGACCAGCTCTGGCTCCTCAGGAATGGGACAAAACCCCTGGAATGTTCTTAGCACTTGAGTGTGGCCCTTGGGGACACAGGTTTGGGGTGACACGGTTGGGCTCGACGATCCTGGAGGGCTTTTCCAGCCTGAATGACTCCACAATTCCATGAATTCCATGGTGGGAATTGCTCTGCTGTGCCTGGGCAGGAGGGGACAGGGGAAGTGGCATTAACAGGGACAGTGGCATTAACCCCTTCCTTCCCTCTGCAGACACTACCCCAAGCAATCCTTCACCATGGTGGCAGACACGCCCGAGAACCTGCGCCTAAAGCAGCAGAGTGAGCTCCAGAGCCAGGTGAGCCCCTCAAATTCCCAAAATTCCCGTGGGGAAAACCCACCCTGACCTTTCCCCGTTGTGTTTTTGTTTCTGTGTTCTGGGATTTTTCTGGGTGCCCCTGAAATTCCCATGGGAAGAACCCACCTTGACCTTCCCCATTGCGTTTCTGTCTCTGAGGGTTCTGTCTTTTGGGATTTCTCTGGGTGCCCCTCAAATTCCCAAATTCCCATGGGAAGAACCCACCCTGACCTTTCCCCATTGCATTTTTGTCTCTAAGCGTTCCATGGCTTGGGAATTTCTATACATTCCCTCTCCAGAGGGGCCCTTCCAGCCCTGAGAATTCCAGGATTTTCTGTGTACTTCCCAAATTCCCATGGGAAAACCCCACACTGACCTTTTCCATTGCATTTCTGTCTCTGAGGGTTCTGTGTTTTGGGATTTCTCTGTGTTCCCTCTCCAGAGGGGCCCTTCCAGCCCTGACAATTCCAGAATTTTCTGTGTGCCCCCCAAATTCCCATGGCAAAAACCCACCCTGACCTTGCCCTATTGTGGTTTTGTTTCTGAGGGTTCCATGGTTTGGGATTTCTCTGTGTTCCCTCTCCAGAGGGGCCCTTCCAGCCCTGACAATTCCATGATTCTCTGAGTGGCCCTCATATTCCCAAAATTCCTGTGGGAAAAACCCACACTGGCCTTTCCCTGTTGTGTTTTTGTCTCTGAGGGTTCTGTGCTTTGGGAGTTCTCTGGAGGTTCCTGAATTAACTTTGGGCACAGGGATCTCCAGAGGGGCCCTTCCAGCCCTGAAAATTCCAGGATTTTCTGGGTGCTTCCCAAATTCCCTTGGAAAAAACCCATCCTGACCTTTCCCATTGCTGTCTCTGAGGGTTCCATGGTTTGGGATTTCTCTCTTCCAGCCTTGGAATTGACACTTCCAAATCCATTGGAATTCCATGATTGACAATTCCATGATTCTCTGGCTGCCTCCCAAACCTCTCCCTCCTAACTCCTACTGCATCTTTCATAATTCTACTTCTCCAAAGTATCTGTAGCCTCATTTACAAAACTCTCCTTTAAAACTTACTTCTAATTTCATTTCTCTCTCAACAATATCCATCCTATTCCATAACGTTCCCAAGTCAACATTTCTTATCTCAAATAAGAGCGTTTACATACAGGTACAAACTTTGTAAACCTGTCAAACTTTAAAAATTTCCTACAAATCCATTCCCAAACCCATTCCAAATGTTTATAGGAAACCTGAACCTCTCAGGGCTTGGGAGAAACAAACAGCTGGGAGGGAGCAGGGCTGGGCTGGAGGAGAATTCCTGGTTTTTCTGGGAAGGGCAGAGCCTGTGGGACAGAACTCTGGGAAAACGGGATGGGAGCTTCAGTTTTGTAGGAAAACTGCTGGAATTGGGGCATGTGAGGCTGCCTGGGGAAGGGGCTGGAGCACCAGGAGAGGCTGAGGGAGATGGGGAAGGGGCTGAGCCTCTGGAAAAGGAGGATCAGGGGGGTCCTTCCCAATCCCTACAATCCCTGGAAGGAGCCAAGTGGGATTCAGGCTTTTCCCCAAATTGTCAGGATGAGAGGAAACAGCCTCACGTTGTTCCAGAGAAGGTTTAGGGTGGAAATCAGGGAAAAAACCATTCCCTGGGAGGGTTGTGAGGCATTCCAAGGGGCAGTGCTGGGGTCACCACCCCTGGAAATGTCCCAAACCCAGCTTGGGGACGTGGGTGAATGGTGAACTGGGGCATGCTTGGGCCCTGAGCCCACAGAGCTTTTTCCAGCTGTGACAATTCCAGGTTTTCCTGGGCTCTGGCTGTGCTGGAGCATCCCCTGAGCCGTGCTGAGAGCTTTGATGTCAGCCCTGCTCACGAGCTGAGCTCACTGTGCTGGAAACAATCCCATCCAGAGGCAATGCTGTGTGCCAGGAGAGCTCATGGGGCAGCTCCCTGGGATTCCTGCACACAAATCCCTTTTTCCCTTGGAAAAGGGGCACTGGGACAGCCCAAGGTGCTGGCAGCAAAGCCTGATGCCTCTCCTGGGCAGGGATTTTCCCTGATGGGTTTTTTTGGGATTTTTCCCTGCTGTTTACTGGGATTTTTTCTCCCTGCTGCTGTTTTCTGGGATTTTTCTCCCTGCTATTTTCTGGGATTTTTCTCCCTGCTATTTTCTGGGATTTTTTTCCCTGCTGTTTTCTGGGATTTTTTCTCCCTGCTATTTTCTGGGATTTTTTTCTCCCTGCTGTTTTCTGGGATTTTTTTTCCCTGCTGCTGTTTCCTGGGATTTTTTTCCCTGTTGTTTTCTGAGATTCTCCCTCCTGGTCTTTGGGATTTCCCTACTGTTTTCTGGGATTTTTTTTTTCCCTGTTGTTTTCTGGGATTTTTTCCCTGCTATTTTCTAGGATTTTTCCCTGCTGTTTTCTGAGATTCTCCCTGCTGGTTTTTGGGATTTCCCTGCTGTTTTCTGGGATTTTTTTCCCCTGCTGTTCTCTGGGATTTTTCCCTGCTGTTTCCAGTCGGTTTTTGGGGATTGGGATCAGATCCCTGCTTGCTGTGCTCTGAAGGATGCTGTGACCTTCTTCTTTCTCCTCCCATCAGCCTGAGAGTGCCAGGAGCTGAATCCTTGGGAATTCCTCCAGGAGGAGGGGGAGGACGGGGGAGCTCACCTGCAGCACCAGGACCCCAAAATGGGGTCCCCAGAGCTCAGCTCTTGTCCCCAAAGCTCAGCTTTCCCCCCAGCCCTGGCTCAGGCTCCGAGCTGAGCCCAGCCTGGGGCTGGATTTGTGTCCACGCAGCGATGACAGGGACAGGGGGCTGACAGGGACAAGGGGACACCGTGGCTTTTCCATGGCAACCATGGAGCTGCTGCCGCTGCTCTGGAGGCTCCAGGCTTTCCCTGGGCTGTTGTTGATGGAAGCAGAGCCAGGGGAGGGGGTTGAGCTCTGCCTGGGGGGGACTCACAGCCCTGAAGGGAGGGGGGCTCTTGTTCCATGGGCTGGGCACCACAGCTCAGCCCCTGTCCCTTGTCCCCTGTGCCAGGTGTGCCCAGCTCCTGGGGCCTGCCAGGCTCAGGGACACTGGGGTGATAGGGATGGGACACTGGGCACCCACAGGGGTGGGGTGACAGGGATGGAGCTGGGATGTGGTGACAGGGATATGGGGTACAGGGATGGAGCTGGGATGGGGTGACAGTGATGAGGTGACAGGGATGGGGTGCTGGGATAGAGCTGGGGTGCCTCAGGGGTGGAAGAGCCTCCTGCAGGGCAGCCCAGGGGCTCCTCAGGGTCCCATTCCCAGCAGGATGAGCTGCAGAGGGGATTTCTGTGGGTGCTGGGCAGGGGGAAGCTCTGAGGGGTGGGAGGGGACCCTGCAGAGGGGCTGGGAGGGGTGGGATACAGAAAGGGATGGATACAGGAGGGGTGGGATATCAGAGATTTGGGATCCAGAACAGGTGGGATATCAGAGATTTGGGATACAGGAGAGAAGAGATACAGGAGTTTGGGATGTAGGAGGTTTGGGATAATGAATGGGGAGATATCAGAGATTTGGGATCCAGGAGAGAGGGGATCCAGGTGGTTTGGGATGCAGGAGGAGTGGGATATCAGAGATCTGGGATCCAGAACAGGTGGGATATCAGAGATTTGGGATGCAGGAGGGGTGGGATATCAGAGGTTTGGGATCCAGGAGAGAGGGGATACAGGTGGTTTGGGATGTAGGAGGTTTGGGATAACAAATGGGGGGATATCAGAGATTTGGGATCCAGAACAGGTGGGATATCAGAGATTTGGAATGCAGGAGGTTTGGGATAACAAATGGGGGGATATCAGAGATTTGGGATCCAGGAGGGGTGAGATACCAGAGGTTATGGGGTAGGGTGACAAGGATAAGGAACTGGGTATGGATGGCAGGGACAGGGTGCTAACCTCCCCCAGGGTTGGGATGACAATAATGGGACAATGTGCTGGACACCCACAGGGATGGGGTGGCAGGGGCAGGGTCCTGGACATCCACAGGGGTGGGGTGGCAAGAATGGGACCCTGGGCACCTGCAAGAATGGGGTGACAAGGACAATGAGCTGCAAGGATGGGTGACAGGGACACGGTGACAGGGATGGGACCCTGGGCACCTGCAAGAGTGGGGTGACAAGGGCAAGGAACTGCAAGGATGGGTGACAGGGATAGAGTGACAGGGATGGATGACAGGGACACGGTGATAGGGATGGGACACTGGGCACCTGCAGGGACAGGGTGGGTGGCAGGTCCAGGCCACAGCAGTCCCATGTCTCTCCTCTGTCCCCTCTATTTGTGTCCCCGAGGAGGCGCCTCCCGTTCCGCTCACGGGAAGCTGCTGCATAATGATGTCCTGACAGGCCAAAAGTGTCCCCAAAGTGCCACCCTGGTGCCCACAGGCTGCTTCTCCCAGCCCACGTGTGGCAGGGAAATTGCAGGTTCCCATCCTGGGGCTCCTTTTCTGAGCTTTTCCTGCGGGGGAATTTGGGCACAGCCCTTCCTGCCCGTGGGTCCTGTGTGGGGGTGGCAGTGCCACTCCTGTCCTGACCCAGTGTCACCTCAGTGCTGGTGACAGAAAGGGGAGGGTTGGATGTGTGAAGGGGTTTTAGGGCTTGATGTGTGAAGGGTTTTTTGAAGGTTTTTTTCTGGCTCCCTTTGGTAACTCATGGATGCACTCGGAGTCACGGCGTGGAGGGAGCAGCTCCCCCCGAGGAAAATTAATTGTGGGGTTAATTAACTTGTTAAATTATTATCATCATCATCATGGAGATACTGCCAGGTGGTTTTTTAGGGCTGAATTCCTGTGTCCTGAACATCAGCAGGGTGAAAAACCAAGGGAGATGGAGCAGGGTGGGATTTAGGAGGGTAAAACCAGAGGATTTATCAGGGGATCTGCCCTCCCTTGGGATTGGCAAGAGCTCAGTGATTCCTTGTTTTTCCTGCCTCAGGGAATTCTCAGGGATGTTGAGGGAGGCTCAGGGATGTGCAGAGATTCACTGGGGATGCTCAGGAATGTTCAGGGATGCTCAGAGATGCACTGGGATGCTCAAGGAGGCTCAGGAATGTTGAGGGATGCACTGGGAGGTTCAGGGATGCTCAGGAATGCCCAGGGATGTGCAGAGATGCTCAGAGATGCTCAGGGAGGTCCAGGAATGCTCAGGAATTCACTGGGGATGTTCGGGGAGGCTCAGGGATGCACTGGGAGGCACTGGCATGCTCAGGGACCTGCAGAGATGAATTGGGCTGTGCAGAGATGTACTAGGATGCTCAGGGATGGACAGGGATGCACTGAGATGTTCAGGGATGCTCAGGAATGTCCAGGAATGCTCAGGAATTCACTGGGGATGTGTAGGGAGGCCCAGGGATGCCCTGGGATGCTCAAGCATGTTCAAGAATGCTCAGGAATTCACTGGGGATGCTCAGGGATGCACTGGGATGTTCAGGGATGCATGGGGATGCTCAAGGAGGCTCAGGAATGTTGAGAGATGCTCAGGGATGCATTGGGAGGCTCGGGAATGCTCAGGGGGTGCCCCTGGGCTGGGCAGGCCCAGCTGTGCCCTGTCCCTCCTCTGTCCCCTCTCAAACCCGTTTTCTGCCGCCCCCAGATCCGCTACAAGGAGGAGTTCGAGAAGAACAAAGGGAAGGGATTCAGCGTGGTGGCCGACACCCCCGAGCTGCAGAGGATCAAGAAGACTCAGGATCAGATCAGCAACGTGAGTGGCCCCTGTCCCTGCTGCGACACCGCCGTCACCTCCAGGGGCAGCGGGGAGGGGACAGCTGGGACAAACAGCCCCGGGGGCACAGGGTTGTGCAGCCCTGGCGCAGATCAGCCCCTCACCCTCTGGCAGCATTGGCAGCAGCTCCCGAGCCTGGCTGCCAGCCCGGGTGGCCCTGACCCACTTAGGGAGCCGCAGGCACAGCGCTGTCCCCAGGGCCAGGGGAGGTGGGGCCGGCCCGGCCCTGCCCCACAGCGGCCTCGGGGTGGGGACAGGTGGGGACAGCCCGGGAATGGGGCTGGGCATGGCCTGAGCCCATCCTGGGGCTGTCCCTGCTCCTGGGGCTGCTCTGGGGCTGCTCCTGAGGCTGTTTCTGATCCTGAGCCCATCCTGGGGCTGCTCCTGCTCCTGTTCTTGCTCCTGGGGCTGTTTCTGCTCCTGGGGCTGTTCCTGAGGCTGTTTCTGATCCTGAGCCCATCCTAGGCTGTCCCTGCTCCTGTTCTTCTTCATGGGGCTGTTTCTGCTCCTGGGGTTCTTCCTGGGGCTGTTCCTGAGCTCATGCTGGGGCTGTTCCTGGGAGCTACTCCTGGGGCTCTTCCTGCTCCTTTTTTTGTTCCTGGGGCTGTTCCTGAGGCTGTTTCTGATCCTGAGCCCATCCTGGGGGCTGCTTCTGCTCCTCTTTTTGTTCCTGGGGCTGTCCCTGTTCCCAAATCTGTCCTGGAGCTCTTCTTGGAACTGTCTCTGCTCCTGGGGCTGTTCCTCATCCTGAACCTGTCCTGGGGCTCTTCCTGAGGCCGTTCCTGATCCTGAACTCGTCCTGCTCCTGTCCCTGCTCCTGGGGCTGATCCTGATTGTTCCCAAGGCCCTTCCTGGTGCTGTCCTTTGTCCCTTATCTGTCCCTGCCCATGCCCAGCTCCCAGTGCCCTCCAGTCCATCACTGTTTAACCAGGGCACATTCCCAGGCTCCTGCTGCTTCCCGGTGGGAATGCACTCATTAACAGCAAGGAGTTAATTGGTAATTTTTACCCTCACAGCCCCGTGGTTGGGTTAACCCTTCCCTCCTGTGTCCCCCTGGCACTGGGGGTTGCACACCAGGATTCCTAAAGGGGGTTTTGCTCCGTGTTCCCCTGGTTTGGGAGGTGCATCTGGGGCTCAATCTCAAACAATTCCTCACTCACAGGGCACAGAAAGCTCCTCCTGTCCTGTCCTGTGTGTGCCTGCGATGCTCTGAGCCGAGGGGGAGTGGGGAAGGAGCCCCTGGGATTTGCTGGGGTGGCAAAAAGAGCTGAGCTGGGATGAGGGGAAGGATCCAGAACCCTTCAGGCTGGGAAAGCATCGAGTCCAGCATTAACCCAGCACTGCCTCGCCAGCAGCCCATGGGCTTTTAACCCTTCCAGGGACGGTGCCTCCCTTTTCTGAAGGAATTCTCCCCAATTTCCAATCCGAACATGCCCCGAGGCCGTTTCCTTGTCTCAGCCCTTCTTCCCTGGCAGGAGCTGCTGCAGCAGGGCCATTTTAATTATTTTATCATTTAAATTCCTTTTTACACATCTTTTTTTTTTTTTATCTTGACATTTTTCTTTTTTTTTTTTTTGTCAAATAATTAAACCGTATATCCCTACATTATCCAAATCACTTGTCATCAATACACTTTCAATTAATCTTCCTCTACATCTCCTGCTATCAAAAATAATGATCAACCATCATCAATACACTTCCAATTAACCTTCCTCTGTATTTCGTAGTATCAAAAATAATGATCAACCATCATCAATACACTTTCAATTAACCTTCCTCTACATCTCCTGCTATCAAAAATAATGATCAACCATCATCAATACACTTTTAGTTAACCTTCCTCTGTATTTCCTAGTATCAAAAATAATGGTCAACCATCATCAATACACTTTCAATTAATCTTCCTCTACATCTCCTGCTATCAAAAATTACGCTCAATCATCATCATCCCTACACAACCATCCCCAAACAAACATAGAGCTGGCCCCCCTCCAAAAACCAAACAAAAATACAAATTATGATGATAAATCATCAGCTAATCACCCACCAGATTTTACACATCCCTGAGCTGTGTCCCCTCCCTGCAGATCAAGTACCACGAGGAGTTCGAGCGGAGCCGGATGGGGCCCAGCCCCAGCGAGGGCTCGGAGCCGGAGCGCCGGAGCTCCCCCGAGAGCGGCGCCTACCGGAGAGCGGAGCAGCAGCAGCCGCAGCACCACGGCCAGCCCGGGGCCACAGGTGGGGTGGGGACAGCCCCGGGGCTCCTCTGCGTCCCCCGCGGCCCAAAACACAGTGTGGGATCCGCCCAAATCCCAGTGCAGGATCCGTCCTTCCCTCCAAATCCCAGTGCGTGGATCCACCCATATCACAGTGCAGGATCCAGCCAAGTCCCAGTGCAGGATCCATCCTTTCCTCCACATCTTAGTCCAGGATTCTTCCAAATCCCAGTTCATGGATCCACCCAAATCCCTGTTCGTGGATCCACTCAAATTCCAGTTCATGGAGCTACCCAAATTCCAGTGCAGGGATCCACCCAAATCCCAGTGCATGGATCCACCTGAATCCCAGTGCAGGATCTGCCCAATCCCACTGCATGGATGCATTCACATCCCAGTTCGTGGATCCACTCAAATCCCAGTGCAGGATCCAACTTTCCCTCCACATCCCAGTGCAGGATCCACCCAAATCCCAGTGCATGGATCCACCCATATCACAGTGCAGGATCCACTCAAATCCCAGTTCATGGATCCACCCAAATCTCACTTCATGGAACCACTCGCATCCCAGGGCAGGATCCATCCTTCCCTTCAAATCCCAGTGCAGGATCTGCCCAAATGCCAGTGCATGGATCCATTCACATCCCAGTTCGTGGATCCACTCAAATCCCAGTGCAGGATCCAACTTTCCCTGCACATCCCAGTGCAGGATCCAGCCAAATCCCAGCTCATGGATCCACCCAAATCCCAGTTCATGGATCTACCCAAGTCCTAGTGCAGGATCCATCCTTTCCTCCACATCCCAGCTCATGGATCCACCCAAATCCCAGTGCAGGATCCACTCAAATCCCAGTTCATGGATCAGCCCAAATACCAGTGCAGGATCCATTCAAATACCAGTGCATGATCCATCCTTCTCTCCACATCCTAGTGCAGGATTCTTCCAAATCCCAGTTCATGGATCACCCAAATCCCAATGCAGGATCCACTTGAATCCCAGTGCAGCATCCACCCAAATCCCAGTGCAGGATCCATCCTTCCTTCCACATCCCAGTGCAGGATCCACCCAAATCCCAGTCCATGGATCCACTCAAATCCCACCACCTAAATCCCAGTGCATGGATCCACTCACATCCCAGGGCAGTATCCACCCAAATCCCAGTGCAGGATCCATCCTTTCCTCCACATCCCAGTCCCCTCCCCATTCCCTCCCCATCCCAGTTCCCATCTCTTGTCCCTCCCATCCCAGTTCACCCCCTGTCCCTCCCCAGTTTACCAGCAGCAGCAGCAGCCGCCTCCATCCCAGTCCTACGGCTACAAGGAGCCAACTCCGGTCTCCTCACAGCGCAACGCCCCGGCCGGAGGGGGGGTGAGTTCAGCCAGACCCCCAAATCCCCACCCCAGGGGTCCCTCAGCCCCCCATTCCCACCCTGGGGATCCCTCTGCTCTCTCAGCCCCAGGAGAAGCCGTTTTGGGGGGTTGGATGCTCGGGTTTGGGGGGTTGGATGCTCGGTTTTGGGGGGGTTGGATGCTCGGTTTTGGGGGGGTTGGATGCTCAGTTTGGGCACTGAGACCCGCCCAGATCCAGCTCCCAGCCTGTCCCTAGGAATGGGCTGTGCCAGTGACCCTCATGTCCCCTTGGGCTCTAACAGTGACCCACCACGTCCCCTAGGGCTGTGAGGATGATCCCTGAGGCTGCCACAATGTCCCCATGTCCCCTGGGGCTGTGACAATGATCCCTGGGTCTGTCACAATGTCCCCAGGTCCCCTGGGGCTATTCCATGTCTCCTGGGTCTGTGACAATGACCCACCCCCGTGTCCCCTGGGGCTGTGACAATGTCCCCCTGTCCCCTGGGGCTGTGACAATGTCCCTGTGTCCCCTGGAGCTATTCCGTGTCCCATGGGGCTGTGACAGTGACCCACCCCCGTATCCCCTGGGGCTGTGACAATGTCCTTGAGTCCCCTGGGGCTTTTCCATGTTCTCTGGAGCAATTCCGTGTCCCCTGGGGCTGTTCCGTGTCCCCTGGGGCTGTGACAATGACCCACCCCCGTGTCCCCTGGTGCTGTGACAGTGTCCCCATGTCCCCCGGGGCTGTGACAATGTCCCCGTGGTGTCCCCACAGAAGCGTTTCCGTGCCGTCTATGACTACAACGCGGCGGACGAGGACGAGGTGTCCTTCCAGGACGGGGACACCATCATCAACGTGCAGCAGATCGATGACGGCTGGATGTACGGCACGGTGGAGCGCACGGGGGACACGGGCATGCTCCCGGCCAACTACGTGGAGGCCATCTGAGCCCTGCCCGTGTCCCCTCCCCGTGGGTGCGGCTCCTGTCCCCTCCCCGCCCTCCGAGCCGTGTCCCCGCGTCCCCTCCGGCTCCGGTTTCGGGGCTGTGCGGGGTGGGGATCAGAGCTCCAGGGCATTTCTCCTCCTGTCCCCTCTGTCCCTCCTGTCCTTCCTGTCCTGCCCTCCCGGGAGCCACCGGGGTGCCGGGAAAGGAAGGGAGAGGCCAAATTCAGGACCAAATTCCCGCTGTGGGGTGGGGAAGCAAGGGGGGCTCACCTGGGCTCGGGGTGGGCTGGCAGCTCCCCCTGCTCATCCTGCCCTCAATCCTTCAGTGCCCAGAGCAGGAAAGTTTTGAGCTCAAATCTCCAACAAAACCTCTCTGCTCTGGCTGCTCCTGCCTCGGGCTGGGCTGTCCTGAACCCTCCGGAGCAGGAGCAGCCCTTGGGGCTTGTCCTGGCTGGAGGGCTGGGCTGGGATGAGCTCCCCAGGCTGGGATCAGCCCCTCTGAACTGGGATGAGCTCCCCAGACTGGGATCAGGCCCCCTGAACTGGGATGAACCCCTCCCCAGACTGGGATGAGCTCCCCATGCTGGGATGAGTTCTCTGGACTGGGATCAGCCCCCCTGAACTGGGATGAACTCCCTGCAATGGGATGAGTCCCCCCAGACTGGGATGAGCCCCTTGAAGTTGGGATCAGCCCCCCCAGACTGGAATGAGCTCTCCAGACTGGGATCAGCCCCCCTGAACTGGGATGAGCCCCTTGAAGTTGGGATCAGCCCCCCCAGGCTGGGATGAGCTCCCCACACTGGGATGAGCCCCCCAGACTGGGATCAACCCCACTGAACTGTGATCAGCCCTCCCAGACTGGGATGAGTCCCCCCAAACTGGGATCAGCCCCCCAGAGCTCCAGCTCACTCTGGGGGTCCCCTGGGGTTGAGCCTTTTCCCCCCCCCACCCAGAATTTTCCTGCTTTTCTCCTCCTGCTGCTGCTGAGTGCTGCCACCCCTGTGGGCCCATCCCGGGTCACTGTCCCCTGGGTGCTGTGACGCTCCCAGCCAGCCCACACCTCTCATTGCCAGCGCTGGTGGCAGCTTTTAGGGACCTCTTTGGGGTCATGTCATGGACCAAAACGACAAAGCACGTCCCTGTCCCCTTCTCCTCTGGGCTCCTGGGGGGGATCAGGGTCGGGTTAAACTGGAACTGGGCAGGGAGGGAGGAGCGGGGACCTCCAGAGGGTCCTGGGAGGACCTGGGACAGTGGGGGTGTCCCCCTGCCAGGACCTGGGACAGTGGGGGTGCTGTGGGGCCAGGAGGCTCCCAGGGGGCAGCTCCACCTTTGTTATTCCCACTGGAAAATCAGGAATAAGGGACCAAAGCAGAGTGAGACATTCCTTGGGACACCTCCCTTCATTGGGGGCAGAGTCACGCTGGGAACAGGGAATTGTGGCTGCAGTGGGATTGGGGACAGGGATTTGGGGTGGCAGCAGGGCAGGATGGGCTGCCCAGGGTGGGAATCCCAGCTGGTGCTAAAACAGGGAGCACAAGGGCAGGGGGAGCCTCCTCCTCTCCCTGCTGAATCCTCTTCGTAATCACGTTCTTGTCTGGGAATGGGGGGGGGGGGGGGGGAGCCTCAATGTGAATAAACCCTTTTTTAATGGACCAAATAATACAGGAAATTCCCTTTTGGGATACAGATCTTTTTTTAATCCTCCCTCAAAAACCATTGTCCCTAAATTCTCCCCTCCCATGCTCCTTTCACCCCCGCCATGGGAAACAAACCTCTTACTGCTTGATTTCTGCCTTTTCTCTCAACTTTATGCACTTTTTTGCCTTTTTTTTTCATAGCTGAAAAGCACCTAAACCTGTATTTAAAAATAAATAAATAAATAAATGAGTTAAAAAAAAAAAAAGATGAAATTACAAGGAAGAAGAACAATTAAAAAGCTGAATAATTGCTTCTCATCACGTGTAAAATAGACCTTGTCCATCCCAGCTTCCCTGGTTGTGTCTCAGTGCTGAGCTTAGAACGTGTTTTCCTCGGGATCCGTCGCTTAATTGGGGTTTTGTCCTTGTGTCCTCCTTCCTGGGTTGAGCACCCGCCAGTAAAAACAAAAATTTTACAAAATTATTTGGCCTTTTTATCCAAAATAAAAAAAAAAAAGAAAACCCACGGAATGGAACAACCCGACCATCGATTCTCTTGCTGGTTTACTCGGATTGAAAATAAAAGTTTAATTTTTACCTGCTGATTGTGCTGGCTTTGATTGTGGCCGCTTTTCTGGCTTGGGTGGGACAAGGGGAGGCTTCCAGAGCTGGGGTTGGGGACACGCCTGGGGACCCTCCTTGGCTCATCCCCTGGTTTTGGGTGTTTTGGAGCCCTGGGAGTGCAGGTGGGATTTCCAGCGGGGTTTAACCAACATCTGGCCGGTGTCTGGGGATGTTTGTTGTTTATCAACAGCTCAAAGAGAGAGGAAAACAAGAGAAGGCAAAGGGCGGTGCTGGGGCACCCCAGCAGCGCAGCCAAGGTGACTTCGGGGTGGGGGCCGCGCTCATTTTCTCATTTTTCCCTCTTTTCTCCAAAGGATGGGGTGGGGTCATATCCCCGTGGGCACCCCCTGAAGCGCTTTGGGAAGGAAGGAGCGGGGACAGAACAACGCCCGAGGGGACGGAACAACCCTCGTGAGGACAGAACAACCCCAGCAGGGACAGAACGACCCCCGTGGGGACAGAACAACCCTCGTGAGGACAGAACAACCCCAGCAGGGACAGAACGACCCCCGTGGGGACAGAACAACCCTCGTGAGGACAGAACAACCCCAGCAGGGACAGAACGACCCCCGAAGGGACATAACAACCCTCGTGAGGACAGAGCAACCCCAGCAGGGACAGAACAATCCCCGAGAGGACAGAACAACTCCCGCGGGGACAGACCAATCCAGCGGGGACAGAGCAACCCCCGTGAGAACAGAACAACCCAGCAGGGACAGAACAACTCCCAAGGGACGGAACAACCCCCGGCGGGGACAGAACAACCCCCAAAGGGACAGACGGCCCCGGGCGCCAGGGCTGGGCCGAGCCCGGCTGCCCGCCGGGGTTTATCCCTTGATGTCCCGCCGGGGTTTATTCCCTTGATGTCCCGCAGGAAAAGCGGCTCCATCAGCTCCGGCATCGTCTGTGCATCCTGAGCGGAGCGGGGAGGGGAGGACCGGGGGCGGCTCTGCCCAGCAGCGCTGCCCGCAGCCCCCGCCGCCTCCTCCTCCTCCCTCCCTCGCCATGCTGGACATTTTCATCCTGATGTTTTTCGCCATCATCGGCCTGGTGGTCCTGTCCTACATCATTTACATGCTCTAAGGAGCCGCCGCCGCCCAAGATGCGGCTCAGAAGCGGCCTCGCCCCCCGAGCGGCGGCCAGGTGAGCTCCGAGCCCCTCCAGGTGCGAGTTTCGGTGGAGGATTGTGCCGGGAGGGGGGCTGGGGGCAGTTTGGGGGGCGGTGCTGTTGGATTTGGGGGTGATTTTCCAGTCCAGGCCTCTGAGCCTCGGGCGCTGCGCAGCTGCTGCCGGGTTTATCGCAAAAGCCGCTCCTGCAGCACGGCCCGGTGGCTTTTGTTTCCGAGCTGGGAGAAATGGAGAAACCGGGAGAAACCGGGCGGGATCCCGGCTGCGTCATCCTCAGGAGTCTCCCGGGGCCGGGGGCGGCTGCTCCCGCTCGGAGCTGCTCCATCCATCCCCTGTTCTCCCGCTCGGAGCTGCTCCATCCATCCCCTGTTCTTCCGCATTTCTCTCACATCGGCCTCTCCTTTCTCCTTCTCTCCCGCAGCCTCCGCCCGGTGCGCGTCCCTCGGAGCCTCCTGGAACAGCGTTAACCTCTGCGAGCCCGGCTCGGAGCACGGAGCGGTCACGGAGCCGGGAACGGCAATGGGGGGACACGGGAGGGGGCTCCGAGGGGCTGTCCCGCTGCCAGGACCCGGCTAATCCCGCTGTCAGGACCTGTGTCCTTCACCCTGTCAGGACCTGTGTCCTTCACCCTGCCACGACCCGGCTAACACCCCTGTCAGGACCTGTGTCCTTCACCCTGCCAGGACCCGTGTCCCCCCCGCTGCCGGGACGCTCCCGGTGACGCCCGCGGTGTCCCCAAGGGGAAGGGAAGGGTCCTGTCCCCCCCTTGTGTCCTGTCCCCTCGGTCCGAGGCCGCTCGTCCGGGCTCAATTTTAGGCAGCGGTTTCTATTTCTGATGAGCGATGTTCAGGGAGCGGAATAAAGAGGAATGGCACGGGAGAGGGAAGATGGCTCTGGTGTCGCTGCAGGGATGGGGGTGGGGGACACGCGGCTCCAGGGACAAATCCCGGCAATGCCAGAGATGGGAAATGCAGCCCGAGGCACCTCCGTGTCCCCAGCACGAGTGGCTGTCCCTGGGGAGGGGTCCCCACCAGGCTGTCCCCTCCTTGAGTGTCCCCAGCCCTCCCTCGGGGCCCTCCCTGGTGTTTGGGGAAGCTCCAGGAGGCCTTGGAAAAAGGAAAGTTTTTAGCACAATGGAAATTTCTGTGGGATGGAAAGAACATTTCAGAGCTTCGTTTTTTCCTCCACTTGGAGATGCCTGGGGAGGTGTTTGGGGCATCAGGAGGATTTTTCCTGTCCTTTTTTGAAGCCCTGCATCCATCCCTGCCCTCCCACTGTCACTCATGGGCAATGACTGAAAGTTTCACCCTCCTAGAGAGCAAAATTTTCACATTCTGGTGTCTCACAGAGTTTTATATTTTTTTTTAAGCAATAAACACCTGAAAATACCCACAATGGGGAAAATTTTGTGCCCCTTCAGCTGTCCCTGGCAGCACCACACAAGCATGTGAGAGAACAGGATCCAGGGAGAGCAGAGGGCCAGGAAATGCTGGAATGGGCAGCTGTGACTTTCAGGAGAGGGAAAAAAAGAGATTTCAGAGCCTGGGAATGCTGGATGAGCTCAGTGCTGCCGGCTGAATGCTCCACACTGCAATTTCCTGCCAGTAAAACTCCCCAGAGAAACTCCAGGCTGGGGATTTCACCCCGGGGCGTTCCTGGAGCCCCCGAGGTGAGGAAACGCTGCTGGAGAGAGCATTAAAAAAGGGTTTATTCACATTGAGGCTCCCTCCCCATTCCCAGACAAGAACGTGATTACGAAGAGGATTCAGCAGGGAGAGGAGGAGGCTCCCCCTGCCCTTGTGCTCCCTGTTTTAGCACCAGCTGGGATTCCCACCCTGCGCAGCCCATCCTGCCCTGCTGCCACCCCAAATCCCTGTCCCCAATCCCACTGCAGCCACAATTCCCTGTTCCCAGCGTGACTCTGCCCCCAGTGAAGGGAGGTGTCCCAAGGAATGTCTCGCTCTGCACCAAATATAGCCGGGAATCGGGAGCCCGAAATATTCCGGGAGGAATTTCTGCAGGCACGAGTCGAGTTCTCAACAACCTCCCCTCCCTCAGGCCGACATCTGCGGGGATGAGGGCAGAGTGAGCGCAGAGGAATGTGAGGAATGGGAGCTCGGCTGAGTGTGAAACCAGGAACGATCCTTTCCTCTGACTCCCAGGCCTCGCAGGGCTGCCAGAGAAATCCCTTCCTGCAGGCCCCGGTGCTGGGAGGTGGCAAAGGGAGCCGGGGCAGGAGAGGGGTTTGCAAAAGGGGCACAGAGGGCAGGGGCACACCTCAGCATCCAGCCCTGCCACCCTGGCATGGGGCATTTGCTCCTGGCCCTGCCTTTTACCCTCTCTCCCCTGCAGCTGTTAAAATTTGGCAGCAAAAGGAAAATCAGCCTTTCCTCAAATCCCCCCATCTCATGTCTAGACCTGGATCCTGTCAGAGTCTGAGCTGATCCAAGGGGAGCTGGGAAAGGAGGGAGCAGAGCTGGTGGCATTTCCCAGTTCACCCCAAACTGGGCAGGGAAGCAAGACTGGGCTTCACTCCCTTGGGAAGGAAAGAGCTGTTCGATGGAAATGTGACAAAAAACTGCCACCAAATATTCCTGAAGTGTCCCAGGCCAGCCTGGGTGGGGCCTGGAGCACCCTGGGACAGGGATGGCACCGGATGGGTTTAATGTCCCTGAGGCGCTGGGAGTGCCAGAGCAGTTAATGACAATTAATAAAGCCATCAATAATTAATTCACCAGGAGCAGCGCCGGGCTGACATTCCAGCCCCGCCGGCTGCTCCAGGGAATCAAAGAGCTCCCTTTTCCCTTTTCCCTTTTCCCTTTTCCCTTTTCCCTTTTTTTCCCCTGGCTGAGCTCTCATCAAGGCCCCCCTTGTGCCCGGCTGGAATTTCTGGGAATGGCCCGGGACACGGATGGGGACACACAAAGGGCCGGGCTCTGCTCCCTTCTCCTGCTCCCATCCGCTGGAATTCTCGATCCTGAGGATAAAAGGACAGACAAGGACCCGGGTGGAGATTCCTGGGGGCGTTTTCCCGTTCTCACATCGAGGTGTTTTCTCCTCAAATTTCGGGATCACTCCGGACACGTTCGGTTCCCGGAGTGCAAAGCAGAGCCTGGAATTTCTCTCCCTTCAGAAATCATGTAAAACGTCACCTTTGAGCAGCCAGAAGGGGGGGAAAAGGGATTTCCAGCATCTGGGAAGGTTTCACCTCTGCCATCTACCGGCACCACCGTCAGTGGGTGTCCCGGAGGCGGATCCTGCCTGGAATTGTGGATTCCACAAACAGGAATTTGGGCACTCAAACTTTCCCAGGTGGCGGCTGATGGCGGCAGGTGGGGACAGCTGACATAAATGGGTCCCGCTGCAGCTGTTCCCACAATTCCCGAGCTAAATGTGGGAAAAGCTGGTGTGAGGGAAGGGTTGGGAAGGGAATATTCGGGTGGGGAATGCGGCTCTTCAGGAACCTGGAGGCTGCAAACAGCACAGAGGGTGTGAGTGCCTTTTATTGCCATCACAGGGTTGGTCTGGAAGGCAACAGAGCAGAAAATCAACTCTGAGCAGCAAACATTTCTCCATTTAAATATTTAAATTTAAATTTATCCATTTAATGAACCACTGTTCCAATTCAATGTGTTTAATGGGCGTCTTCAACTTGGCTAAATCCTAAAACACTTCAACCCAGGGCAGGGGGAGAGATTTGAAGTTTCTTTTGCTTTCTAAAACCTGGAGATTGAGAGGAAGAAATGCCTTTCCAGGTCAAAGCACTGGAATTGCTTTCAGAAATCACCTTTCCCTAGAGCTGAATGTACAAACCATGGAGCATTTCTGTCACAGAGCCTGAGTCAGACATCTAAAAATGCAGCTCCTCAAATCCCATCCCTCCCTTTCTCCTCAGATTCCCAAGAGAAAACAAATGTAAGAGCTCAGAATGTTTTGGGTTCTGGGCTAAGACAACACGAGCTTCAGTCGGTGTCTGCACATCAGCTGTGGAAACCATGTCATTTTTATTGTGTGTGCAAACATGCACAGTGGGAAAAGAATGCAGTTGGTGTTCCCAGCCCTCTTCCCTGGAGGAGCAGAGAGGATGGAATTGCACTCCCCAAGCCCTCCATGAGCTCACTCAGCTGGCCTGGCACGGGTGGGCCCAACTTCTGCCACCCCAGCTCCTACTGGGATGGGAAATTCAGAAATAATCTGAGACTTGTCTGCAAAAGTTCAAAGGAAAAGAAAGAGGAATCCAGCAGGGACAGGGGAGGGCTCTGTGGAGCTCAGGAGGTGCTGCTGGTGCTGCCCATGGCCAGGTAGAGGATTTCCTTGTGGAAGTTGGCCTGTGCATTCATCAGATGGAACAGGTTCAGGAAGCTGCTGTCCTCCTCATCCCTCTCCCCTGGCAGGGAAGAAAAGGAGTGAAATGGAGGAATTCATTGAGGTCAGGTGAGTCCCCCTGAGGCAGAGCTCTCAGCAGAGGGAAGAAGCTGAGCTTTGTGAGCTTTGTGCTGGGGTTTATCCTCTGCCCATGGCAGCACAGGAGGAGCTCAGCCTGAAATTGTGCTGGGTTTAACCTCAACCTCTGCCATGGCAGCACAGGAGGAGCTGAGCCTGAGCTTTGTGCTGGGTTTAACCTCAACCTCTGCCATGGCAGCACAGGAGGAGCTCAGCCTGAGCTTTGTGCTGGGTTTAACCTCAACCTCTGCCATGGCAGCACAGGAGGAGCTCAGCCTGAGCTTGTGCTGGGTTTATCCTCAGCCCATGGCAGCACAGGAGGAGCTGAGCCTGAGCTTGTGCTGGGTTTATCCTCAGCCCATGGCAGCACAGGAGGAGCTGAGCTGAGCCTGAGCTTTGTGCTGGGTTTAACCTCTGCCCATGGCAGCACAGGAGGAGCTGAGCTCAGCCTGAGCTTTGTGCTGGGTTTATCCTCAGCCCATGGTAGCACAGGAGGAGCTGAGCTGAGCCTGAGCTTTGTGCTGGGTTTAACCTCTGCCCATGGCAGCACAGGAGGAGCTGAGCCTGAGCTTGTGCTGGGTTTATCCTCAGCCCATGGTAGCACAGGAGGAGCTCAGCCTGAGCTTGTGCTGGGTTTAACCTCTGCCCATAGCAGCACAGGAGGAGCTGAGCCTGAGCTTGTGCTGGGTTTATCCTCAGCCCATGGTAGCACAGGAGGAGCTCAGCCTGAGCTTGTGCTGGGTTTAACCTCTGCCCATAGCAGCACAGGAGGAGCTGAGCCTGAGCTTTGTGCTGGGTTTGTCCTCTGCCATGGCAGCACAGGAGGAGCTCTCCCAGACTCCTTCCAGCCTGTTCTGGGACAGAGAGGAACAATTGTGAGCCAGGACAAGGAGCTGAGCTGAGCTGGGTTGGGCTGAGCTGAGCTGAGCGGTTTAAAATCTGTCCCACCACAAAGCTGGGCCCAAATTCCCTTTTGGGCTGGGCTGAACTGAGCTGAGCTGAGCTGAGCTGGGTGTTCCTCACTCCAGCTCAGCTCCACCATTGCCCCTGAGGCTCCAGCAGGGCTGAGCACAGGCAGCAGCTGCAGCTGGTGCAGTTTAGGCTCAGCCCAAAAGGGACTTTGGGCCCAGCTTTGTGGTGGGACAGATTTTAAACCACTGTTGGTTTCAGCATCCGTGAATCCCTTAAACATTTAGTAATATAAAATAAGTTTAAAATTAATAATTGTAATAATAATAATAACAATAAATTATAATATATAATAGTAAAATTAATATAATATAATAGTATAGTATAGTATAGTATATAATAGTATATAAAAGTATAGTATATAATAGTATAGTATATAATAAAATATAATAGTATATAATATAATAGTATATAATATAATAGTATATAATAGTATATAATAGTATAGTATGTAATAGTAGATAATAGTAGATAATAGTAGATAATATAATATTATATAATAGTATATAATAGTATATAATATAATAGTAGATAATAGTATATAATATAATAGTATATATTTTTAATAGTATATAATAAAATATAATAGTATATAATAGTAGATAATAGTAGATAATAGTAAATTACGGTATAATAATAAAATTATTATTTATAATACTAAAAGAAATATAATTCTATATAAAATAAAATCAATATATAATAATATATAAATAATACTAATATTTTATAATTCTCTGTAATAATAAATATATAGAGTATATAATAATTATATAATAATCTAAAATAAATTTAAAATAAATATTTCTTCCCGACTATGACACTTGCATGGTTATTTTTGCTGCCCAGAGCAGCTGTGGCTGCCCCTGGATCCCTGGCAGTGCCCAAGGCCAGGTTGGGCAGGGCTTAGAGCAGTGGCACAGTGGGAGGTGTCCCTGGATGGCACTGGGGTGGCCCTGGATGAACTTTAAGGTCCTTTCCCACCCAAACCAGTCTGAAACTCTGCAGATCTGTGATTTTCTGTCCTCAAGCCCTTACCAGCCAGTACTGCCTGCAGCATGTCCATGAGCATGCGGGCAAAGGAGTTCTCCAGGCACTGCAGGAAGTTGTTCCTCTCCCAGGGAGTGCTGAAAACATTGCAGACCTTCTGCATCATCTTCACCGCCCAGTCCATGCAGTACAGGTCCTTCTCACACACCTGGAGGGCACAGGAAGGATTTAAAGCACGGCTTTTATGGTGCAAGGTCAAATCTCAGCGTTCACCGCTGGTTCTGGGTCAGCTGTGCCAAGGCCTGGAGGATCTGGGGTTGTGAGAAGGGCACAGAGGTTGTTCTTGCTGGCACAAAGGGAATTCTGAACCTGTGGAAACCCTCCCTAAAAAATTCTGTGCCAGAATTGGGAGATGAATGGAACTTTTGGTTTTTTGGTCTTCTTTGCTGTTGATTTTTCTCTTATCAACAGTTCAGCACTCTGTGTACTCTCTCAGACTTAGTGTAAAAAGAAAAGGCACCCAAAGTCACCAGACACACAGGTTCAAGGTCTTTTAAAGCTCTTTTGTCCAATTAACTCTTTGAATGCATTTTATTTCTACCTTTCTACCAATAATTATTTGTCTGTTCATGCAGCATCTGCATTGCAGCTCTTTCAGTGCCACCAACCCTGCAGAAAATGGAGGAGATGAAGAAGGAGATCAGACAATTCCCAAAATCCTCCATCTTGTCTCCTATCCACCTCCATCCTAAAACTCTGAGGTTTTCACCCTGTGATAAATTAATTACACTATTATCTATTTCACACACAGAAAATTCCAATTCATCCCAAAGTCTTGGAAGTTTTCTCCATGGATGAAGGTTAACAGCAGTGTTCTCCTGGAGGTCAGAACTTATTCCCTGAGCCCTGGGTTCCAACATGACCCTTTTGCTGCTGGTGCTTCTCCTCCTCAGGGAGAAAAAGCAGAGGGGTGGAAGAAATTTTTCTTACAGCAAAAAGGAAATACAGTTAATGAGGAATAATAAATAAAAGATGAACAGTTGTTTTCAATCCCATAAATTAAAGACCAGACCTGCCCACTTTGAGCAAGGGCTGGGTGGGATGTCTGCCTCAAATCTCCTTTCAGCTGCTGTCTGCCTTAAAATTGACTTTTTGCACCTTGCAGTGGAGTGGGTTTGGTTCCATGGCACAAGGACCTGGAGGAGAGAGGTGAAAATCCCAAGCCCAGCTCCTGGCTGGATTTATTCCTGGGGGTAAAATTTTCCAGCCCAAGGCAGCAAATGTGGGGCAGAGAGACTGAGCTGTACTCACCAGAACCATGAAGACCATGAGCCTGGCCAGCTCCACAGCTCTGCCATTCACAGCTTTGCTGGCCATGAAGGTGAAGCAGATGCTGTTGCCACTGAGGAGCAGCAGCCGAGCGTTGTTCTCCATCAGCCACTCCTGGGGAACCACTTCAGAACGGGGGGGAGAGAGGATTTCAGTGCCCTGAAATTTCCATAAATCCATTTCCATTGTGGGAAATGGATTTAGAGAAAATTCTCAGACCTCGACAGAAGGTTTACATAGTGTGTGTTTGGGTGTGAGCTTTGAGATAAGAAATGTTAACTTTGAAATGCTATAGAATAAGATAGATATTGTTGAGAGGGAAATGGAACTAGAAATAAATAAATAAGACTAGATATTTTAGAGAAATAGAACTATGAAAGATGTATTGAACTAAGACCTAAAGGAGTAATTTTAGATAATCAGCTTTAAGATATTTACAACACAGTGTGACTAAAGCTAGGATAAAAACCACTTCTAGTGTATTGCAATTAAAAAATAGCTTCTGATTGTGATAGCATGAATTATAACATCTGTATTGTCTCACCCTCCTCATGAAAGTAAAAATAACATTAAAGTTTTTAAAACACCTCTCAGTTGCCCCATCTCTGGGTCAGAAAGGGGTAAATTCCAACAATCTTTGAGCAGAAAGGGAGCAGTGAAATTGCACCAATAATCCCTGCCAGTGATGGTCAGAGCTCTCCACACCAACTCTGGGACACAACCTCAGCCAAGACCCTCAGTGCAGCTGGGAAAAACGCTCAGGAGAATTTTTCCTGAGCAAATTCATGTTTGGACAATGTTTCCTGAATAATTCAAGGTGAGATTTGAGTTTTAAAGGTTTGCATGGGTTCTTAAAGGATTTCTCCGTGGGGAAAGACAGCCTGGATGTGTAAAACAAGCTGGGTTGGTCTCAGCCCAGCCTGGTTTCCCAGTGTGATGACTTTTCCAGCTAAGCCACAGCTACTGAGAGGAATTTTGCAGCACACAGCTGGGTCTGGAGGATGTGAGGATCCATAATCCCAGGGATTAATGATAAAGGCAAAAACACACCTGACAGCTCATCCACAAGACTGATAACATCATCTGCTGTCCATTCTCTAGCTTCTGTACCATACAGCAGCTTAATTGCATCAGCCAAACCCTTCAGACTGGTCTCATCTGTTGGTCCTTCTATCATTTTCTGCCAGACCACGTGTCCTGGGTGATATATCAATCACAACTGCTGGTAAGTGACAGTTTTTAAACAAGGAAGGTGCTAAACTGAGCCTCAGGGCAGAGGGAGAGGAGAGGAGAGGAATTCAGGGGACACCATTGAGGTTTTGTGATTATTTTCCATCTGTCATTTCAGCAGGGACAGTGAGTCAAACTTAAAGAAAGTTTTAACAATTAAGTGAGAAAATGTGTTTTCCCTCAGGGAAATGGGTGCTTCTTTGAGGTGGATTTGAGCCTCCCCAAGCAGGGGAGAATAGAGGAACAGAGGTGTAATTTAATTTCTTCATTGAATTGTAACTTACATGTGTGTTTGTGTGTATAATTTATTTATTTCCTGTATGTTAGTGATGCCTGGTTGAGCAGAACAAGTTTTTCCCAGGCAATGCAATGGCTCCAATGGCTTCAGATGGACAGAGAGCAGGTTGAGACTGGGTCTTGGGAAGGAATTCCTTCCTCATGGGAGGATCCTGTGAGGGTGTGAGGGGCTGCAATGGGGCTGCCCCATCCCTGGAAATGTCCCAAGCCAGGTTGGATGGGGTTTGGAGCGCCCCACACTGGTTTGGGACAGTGGGAGGTCCCAAGCCCTTCCATGACTCCACGATTCCAACACAACCCCATTTTTTGGGTTTCCCTGCCAGATCTCCTCCCTTCGCTCACCATCGCGGGAGGACACGGGCCCGAAGATGATGTAGAGCAGGCGGGCCTGGTTCACCATGGGCCAGGGCTTGAGGATGCGGGTGAGCCAGAAGGCGGAGTCGCTGCGGCGGCTGCCGGGCGACAGCAGCACCCCCCGGCAGAACAGGCGGATCCGCAGCTCCAGCCGCCGGGCACTGCCTGCAAAAACCGGAGGGATCAGCAATTCCTCTGCCTGGATCCCTGCAAAGCTCAGCTCCTTCGTAGGGAGGGAAAGGGGAGGGTTTGTAACGAGTTTGATTCGGGTTTTGTCTCTTGCTGCCTGAGTTTGGGTGGTTTGCTATAATTCAGGTGGTGGAATGTGTGGGTGCATCCTCTGGGGTTTGGTTCCTGGGGTTTGGCAATGGGTGAGGTGGATGGAATGTTCCTCAGAAATTATCAAAACTATCAAAACAATTTGTCCCTTGAGAAATTCTCTAGAAGAATGGGAGAAATGGGAGAATTTCTCCATAGGCATTAGCCCCATCACTGCTGGGGTTCAGAAAAGTGAAACCTCACTTTTTACTGCTTCATTCTATTCCGAATTTTTATCTCTAATTCCTCTCCCATCGACAGCTTCTTCATAGGGAGGGAAAGGGGGATTTTTAATGTGTTTGATTTGGGTTTTGTCTCTTGCTGCCTGAGTTTGGGTGGTTTGCCATAATTCAGGTGGGTGCATCCTCTGGGGTTTGGTTCCTGGGTTTTGGCAGTGGGTGATGTGGATGGAATGCTCCTCAGAAATGATCAAAACTATCAAAACAATGATCCTCAGAACAAGGGATCAAAACAATTTCTCCCTTGAGAAATCCTCAAGAGGAGTGGGAGAAATGGGAGAATTTCTCCATAGGCATTAGCCCCATCACTGCTGGGGTTTAGAAAAGTGAAACCTCACTTTTTACTGCTTCATTTTATTCCTAATTTTTATTTCTAATTCCTCTCCCATCGACAGCTTCCTTGTAGGGAGGGAAAGGAGGGGTTTTTATAAAGTGTTTGATTTGGGTTTTGTCTCTTGCTGCCTGAGTTTGGGTGGTTTGCCATAATTCAGGTGGTGGAATCTATGGGTGCATCCTCTGGGGTTTGGCAGTGGGAGGAAGGGTGATGTGGATGGAATGTTCCTCAGAAATTATCAAAACAATTTCTCCCTTGAGAAATTCTCAAGAGGAATGGGAGAAATGGGAGAATTTCTCCATAGGCATTAGCCCCATCGCTGCTGGGGTTCAGAAACATTAAACCTCACTTTTACTGCTTCATTCTATTCCGAATTTTTATCTCTAATTCCTCTCCCATCAACAGCTTCTTCGTAGGGAGGGAAAGGAGGGGGGTTGTAAGGTGTTTGATTTGGGTTTTGTCTCTTGCTGCCTGAGTTTGGGTGGTTTGCCATAATTCAGGTGGGTGCATCCTCTGGGGTTTGGTTCCTGGGTTTTGGCAGTGGGTGATGTGGATGGAATGCTCCTCAGAAATCCCTTGTTCTGGGGAATGGGAGAAATTCTCTAGAAGAATGGGAGAAATGGGAGAATTTCTTGATAGGTATTAGTCCCATAAGTGCTGTGGTTCAAAAACATTAAACCTCACTTTTACTGCTTCATTTTATTCCTAATTTTTATCTCTAATTCCTCTCCCATCGACAGCTTCTTTGTAGGGGAGGGAAAGGAGGGGATTTATAAAGTGTTTGATTTGGGTTTTGTCTCTTGCTGCCTGAGTTTGGGTGGTTTGCCATAATTCAGGTGGGTACATCCTCTGGGGTTTGGTTCCTGGAGTTTGGCAGTGGGTGATGTGGATGGAATGTTCCTCAGAAATTCCTGGTTCTGGGGAGCAAGGGATCAAAACAATCCCTTGGGATCAAAACAATTTGTCCTTTGAGAAATCCTCAAGAGGAATGGGAGAAATGGGAGAATTTCTCCATAGGCATTGGCCCCATCACTGCTGGGGTTCAGAAACATTAAACCTCACTTTTATTGCTTCATTCTATTCCTAACTTTTATCTCTAACTCCTCTCCCATCGACTTCATTGCTGTAGGGTGGGAAAGACTCAAATCCACAACTGATGTGTAGACACAAGTGATGCTTTGGATTGAAAATGGGATGGTTTAAAATCCCTAAAGACCTCTCAAAACAAATAATTTCAGAGACAAAAGCTCTTCTTCTGCTCTTGGGGAGGAGCTGTGTCCATCAGGTGAAACCCAGAACTGCTGTAGATGCCCACAGAACCCCCAGCAGAGTCAGGAGACAAAACCACCCTGAACCCCACAACCAGGAGCCATTTTTTTGGCTGAGATTTTTGGGATTTTGGGGCTGTGCTGGCACTTTTTTTGGGGTTTTTTGGGGGGCTGCTGGCTGCTCGGGGTTACCTGGTTTGCTGCTGACAACCGTCTGCACCTTCCGGGCTAAATTGCTGAGATCCCAGAGGAAGTTGAACACCCGGTGGCACTCGAGCTCATCCCAGCCCGCCGTCAGGATCTGGAGGGGAGCGAAAATGGGCTGAAAATGAGGAGGTTGGGGAGAAATTCCCTTCCCAACGCCAGCACTCCCAGCAGATAAACGCGATTTTATCCTGCAGTCTCTCAGGAGAGGGAGGGGAAAGTCATAGCTGAGTGGAGGTGCTTAAGGATTTGTACTAAAATTGGCCAGAAAATAAAATTTCTAACATGAAGCATTAGAAAGCTGAGATTCATCAGGTGGTGCTTAAGGATTTGTACTAAAATTGGCCAGAAAATAAAATTTTTAAAGTGATTTGAAGCATTAGAAAGCTGAGATTCATCAGGTGGTGCTTAAGGATTTGATATTAAAATTGGCCAGAAAATAAAATTTCTAACGTGATTTGAAGCATTAGAAAGCTGAGATTCATCAGGTGGTGCTTAAGGATTTGATATTAAAATTGGCCAGAAAATAAAATTTCTAACGTGATTTGAAGCATTAGAAAGCAGGGATTCATCAGGTGGTGCTTAAGGATTTGATAGTAAAATTGGCCAGAAAATAAACTTTATAATATGATTTGAAGCATTAGAAAGCTGAGATTCATCAGGTGGTGCTTAAGGATTTGATACTAAAATTGGCCAGAAAATAAAATTTCTAACATGAAGCATTAGAAAGCAGGGATTCATCAGGTAGTGCTTAAGGATTTGCACTAAAATTGGCCAGAAAATAAAATTTCTGACAAGATTTAAAGCATTAGAAAACTGAGATTCATCAGGTGGTGCTTAAAGACTTGTACTAAAATTGGCCAGAAAATAAACTTTACAATATGATTTGAAGCATTAGAAAGCTGAGATTCATCAGGTGGTGCTTAAGGATTTGTACTAAAATCGGCCAGAAAATAAAATTTCTAACGTGATTTGAAGCATTAGAAGGGGAGTTCATTCATCAGCCTGATGCCTCCCAGAAATCCAAAATTGCTGAGAGTGTCCCAAAATCTGATTTGTGGCTGTGATGTGGAAGGGATTTGCTACAAAATGTCCCAGCACTAATAATCACCTGCTCTTCTAAGACAGGGTTTTAATTTTTATTTTTGGTTTATATTCATTTTAAGCTACCACAAACTATTCTGGCCTTTGTTGTGTGGAGCCATTTCCCTGGAAATGAAAGCATTTCTGCTCTTGACCTGTGGATTTGGGGCTGTGTGATAAAATTTTCTCTTTCTCCCCTCTCTTCTTAGGTAATAAAGTGCTAATTAAAAAATTAGACTGGCTGGGAGTGAAATCCAGGCCAGGAAATCCTCAGCAGTCAAATCAGCAACTGGAAATTCAAGTATTTCTGCTCTTGACCTGTGAATTTGGGGCTGTGTGATAAAATTTTCCCTTTCTCCCTTCTCTTCTTAGGTAATAAAGTGCTAATTAAAAAATTAAACTGGCTGGGAGTGAAATCCAAGCCAGGAAATCCTCAGCAGCCAAATCAACAACTTCCAGCACCAGAAAGAAAACCCAGAGAATATAAGAATAAACACCCCAAACCACTCCATAAAAAACCAGTTTATACTTTAAAAAATCTTCCAAAACACAGGTTAATTTAGAAAAAAAGCCTGAATTTTCTATTTTTTTATTAATTTTATGAATTTTACTCGTCTTGTGTGCATGGGGATACTGTACCTGTAAGAAAACCCCATAGCACTGCAGGCCCAGGCAGTGCAGGGGACTGGCACAACCATTCAGCTTGAAACAGGAAACCTGCAAGTGCAAACAGCAAAAAATTTGTCCTAATTAATCAATTTTTAATTGGGAATTCTATGTGTTCCTCAATTCAGAGAGGTGCAGAAGGATTCCCTACCCTTTTTGGGTGAGTTATGGGAGTGTTGTGGAAATGAGTTGTTGGGATGGGTTGTGGCAGCTGCTTTGGGGTTTGGAGTCAAAACTGGGGTGTGCAAAAGGGTTTGGGAAGGAAAAACTCCAATTTTCAGGGAAAAAACTCCAATTTTCAGGGTGGAAAAACCTCATTTTCAGGGAGGCAAAACTCCAATTTTCTGGGAGGAAAAACCCAATTTTCTGGGAGGAAACCCCCAATTTTCAGGGTGCAAAAACCTCAATTTTCAGGGAGGAAAACTCCAATTTTCAGGGAAAAAAAACCAATTTTCAGGGAGGAGAACCCCCATTTTCAGGGAGGAAGAACCCCATTTTCAGGGAGGAAAAACCCTATTTTCAGGGAGAATTTAGGATTTTCCAGCCTTTAGGATGTTTGATTTCCTGGACTAACCAAATACCAGGACTAAACTGAGTTATCACATTTAAGGGATTGCAAGCATAAATGCTAAGAATACTTCCAGTTCTATAAAGAACATAAATAAAATAAAATAAATAATAATAATAGAAAAAAAGAGAATATCCTCATTAATACAAATATTAATATTTAAAATAAAATAAGTTCAAACGAATTTTTATTTTTTAAATAATAATACTTAATTTTAAAAATGATAAAATAAATATTAATATAATTTAATAATACGAGTTTTATGAAAATTATATTTTAAAAGAGGCAAAAAAAAATTTATTTTGTTTTCAGACTTACCCCTGAGAGCACCTTGTGCACATATTTGAGCCTGTCCCTGGTGGGCAGCAGCAGGGTGCACCTCTTGAGCAGCAGCCCTGGGGGAACAAACAGAGCTCTGGGGGTGCTCAGACACTGCTGGAGCATCCTCAGGAAAATACACAGGCTTTTTTTCCATAACTCAGAAATTTTGGTACACCCAGAAGAGGCAGAACACACAGGCTTTTTTTCCATAACTCAGAAATTCTGGAAGAATTCCAGGCAATTCCTCAGCGCTGGAAAGGATCCTTTTACTCCTCTATTTTTTTAGCCACACCCTCAGCATTCCCCTATTAATACACATCCTAGGAGAACTCTTTGGGGTGGGTTTTGCTCTCACCTAGAGCCCTGTAGTGCTCCAGGATGGAGGCTCCCTCTCTCCTGGCGGGGAGCTCCTGGTGGAAGTCCTGCAGCAGCAGCCGGCGGCTCCCTGACGAGGTGGAGATGTAATGGATGAGGCGGCCGCTGATGGTTTTGGACACCATGCTCAGCATGCTGATGTCCTTCACTGCAAAAGCAAATTCAGGACACTCCTAAATCCCCTCTGTGGGAGCTCAGCACAACATTCCTGATGTGCAGAGTCACCGAGACAACCCTTGGGGGGCTCGGAGGTCCTGGAATGTTCCCAGAAGTGTTTGGTGGTTGGACTTTGATCCTGCATGGGAGACGACACCTGGATGAGGATGGGAGGATCCCACGGGGATAAATGGTGAAGAGATAGGTTAATTATAGAGGGAAAACACAGGTTTTAGAATCTTGGTACAGGGGGGTTCTAGAGGGACAAGATGGAGGAATTAGGGCGTGTCCTGCCCTTCTTCTTCTTCTTGTCCTCCATCTTCTATGGTGGTGGTGGCACTTTGAGATTGGTTCTTACTGAATGTGCACTTGTCAATAAGGGTGAAAGGTATTGGGGAGAAAAGGTAAATATCTTATACGTAGCTCTTGGTATAAAGATAAGTGACCACCCCGAGGGCTCTCAGTGTGCTCATGGCTGATGTGCTGTGCAGACCTCTGTCGGGCCGGGAGAAAATATTGTAGATAAGAATTAATAAACACTGAAGACCGAAAAACCTGAAGACTCCTTTCGTCCTTTGGGGCGCGGGCTGCCCCAAGGCCATCCCGAGCCTTTCCAGGCCATTAAAAACAGCCAAAGAAAGGGACACCCTCTGCAAGGGAAAGTGCCGATCACCAGTCAGTGACTCCTCTGGTTTCAAAAAATCAGTCAGTGAGTCCTTCTGCCTTCAAAAAATCAGTCAGTGACTCCTCAAACCAGCCAGTGACTCCTCTGCCTTCAAAAATCCAGTCAGTGACTCCTTCTGCCTTCAAAAAACCAGTCAGTGACTCCTCTGGTTTCAAAATATCAGTCAATGATTCCTCAAACCAGTCAGTGACTCCTCTGGTTTCAAACAACCAGTCAGTGACTCCTCAAACCAGTCAGTGACTCCTCTGGTTTCAAAAAATCAGTCAGTGACTCCTCTGCCTTCAAAAAACCAGTCAATGATTCCTCTGCCTTCAAAAAACCAGTCAGTGACTCCTCTGCCTTCAAAAAATCAGTCAATGACTCCCTCTGGTTTCAAAAAATCAGTCAATGACTCCTCAAACCAGTCAATGATTCCTCTGCCTTCAAAAGAACAAGGCCAAGAAATGGGATTTATAAATAAAACAGAAATTAATTAATGTTGATCTGCTTTGCCAGCAAGCTGGAGTTATTAGAAACGGACAGATCTAAGGAATAATTTTTACATTTGATAGGCAGAATAACAAGTTCAAATAGGTTGTCAAATATATATTGGTCAAATGTATATTGGTCAAATATCAGTGGAGTTTTGGTCAGTTGTTTTTTCCAGACTTAAAAAGCTGAAAATTCAGAGTTGAAGTCATGTAAAATTATTTTAACTCCTTAAAAGTGACAGTATTTTAAATTATAACGGTTTGTAAGTTTTAAAAGAAATAAATAAAAAATAAATAAATAAAAATAAAAATAAATAAATAAAATATAAATATATAAAATTTTATTTATACTTAAATAATATATTTTATTTCTAATTTTTATATATCTATATATAAAGATTTCTATTTATATTTATATATATAAATGTATAAAATTATCAAATTTATATATAATATATAAAAATTTATATTGTATTGTATTGTATTATATTGTATTGCATTATATTATATTGTATTGTATTATATTATATTGCATTATATAATATTGTATTGTATTGTATTATATTGTATTGTATTGTATTGCATTATGTTATGTTATGTTATGTTATGTTATATTATATTATATTATATTATATTATATTATACTATATTATATTACATTGCACTATATTACATTACACTGTATTACATTACATTATATTATATATAGATGTAGCTATAGATATAGATATATAGAATATATAGAATATATAGAGTATATAGAATTACAGTATAATTATAAAATTATAAATATATATAAATTTTAGCTATTGACGTCTCTGACCAGGTCCTTACCTGAGAGATAATTCAGCACCATCTGGAAGATCTCCAGGGGAAGGTTCTGGAAATCGCCCAGCGCTGACAGAGCCGGGGATTCCCTGCCCGGGCTGCGGCCCGAGCGGCGGCGGCTCCGCCTCTGCTTCTGCCTGGGGACCGAGGCGCTGCTGCTCCCCGCGCTCGAGGTCATGGTCCCCGCGCTCCCATGCACCTAACCTGGAAAAAAACAAAAAAAAATGTATTAAAGTCTGATTTTCTGAGGAGGAAAAGGCTCCCAGAATGAGAAAATTGTTCCCTTGGAGTGTGTGTGGGGGGGGGATAAACTGCTTGGATTCAGTGAAAGCAATTTGCTAAAAACTTTTAGTACATAAAGAATAAAAATAAAAAAGTGTTCTGACTAATTTATAATAATTATTTATAATTATTACAACAATAAATCATAAGAATATTAAATACATTAAATAAATAATGTATATATTCTATAATATAAATAATATTAAATATATTAATACAATATAATACAATGTAATGTAATATAATATAATACAATATAATACAATGTAATGTAATGTAATGTAATATGATGTAATATAATATGATATAATATAATATCATCTCATATCATATCATATCATATCATATCATATATCATATAACATAATATAACATAATATAACATAATATAACATAATATAACATAATAAACATAATAAACATAATATAATATAATATAATATAATATAATATAACACATAATAGCATAATGATAAATATTATATAATATCATGTATAATAAATAATTAAGAAATGTATATTTAATACTGTGAATAATATTACATATATATTAATGATTCATAATAATTTATAATAATAATTTCGTGTGCTGAAATGTAAATAAAGTCCGGGGAATGGAGGGTTCAGCTGATTTTGGGGGAGGAAGAGACAAAAGCACTGAGGGCACAGAAAGTGAAGAAAACGGCTCTGGAAGGGATTTTTTGGGGAATTCCATGTGAGGCTACAAGCTACAGTAATTAACAACATCACTTTAATTTGTCACACTAATTATTCACCAGAACACAAAATTCCAGGGCTGTTATTGAAAGAATCATCACTGTTCCTTTAGGGTGATAATTACTGATTGTGCAGGACCAAAGATTGAAAGTGATGCTTCAAATCCTTCTTTTCCTGCAGCACCGAGTTGGTGCAAGGCTTAATTTAATATAATGTATAAAAATACATAATGTAAAAATAATTATGTACGTGATATAAAAATCAATGATGCAGCATTGCCCTGTGAAAATGTCACTGCTTTTCCAAAACCACGAGGAGCTGAAAACGAGCTCTGAAAAGATCAATAAATCAGATTATTTCCTTCACCTTGTGGGTTTTGAGGGTTCAGTTCACAATGTCAGGCAACACTGGGGATTGCTGTGTCTTAAATTTCTGTTTTAACTGAGATTTTTCACACTGGTCCCTGATTCCTGCAGCTGAGGCACTGCCAAGTGCTGGGGGTGATTCCAGGAAAAATTCTCCCTGAGAACAAACCCCATTGTTCCCAGGATTAAAAATGTACAAAATGACAAACAACAAACTCCAAACATCCTCCCTGTTTATTATCAAACAGCTCCAGCCAGACTCTGATATCCCACGGAGGGGAAATGGCCCTGACCACAATGAGGGCTCTGTTTGTGCTGAGGAATGGGGGGATTTTGGGAATTTTGGATCTGGGGAGGCTGGGAATTGGATATTTAAGGGATTTTTAATGTCATTTGGAACGTTTTGAATTTAGCCGTGGGATATTTCTGGCTTGCTAAAGCAGCAGAAAACTTTCACAGGGCTCAGGAGGAAATGTGACTGCTGCTAAAATGAGTGGGTTTGGGATTTTAGGAGGGAAAATTGACAAAACATCGTGAAGAAAAATCACCTATAGATAAAACTATATTTTAAATGCTTATATTCTCAAAGGAAGGATTTTTACACACAGAACTGTGGATTCCATATAGATTCCTGCTGTGCCACACAAAAATCAGCCCATTCCCTGTTTATGACCAGGCACCACTAAACTTGGCTAAATCTGGTGCAGATTTCTGATCCAGGCTTTAGAAATAAAGTTGCAATCCTGAGATACTTTCTTCTCTTCCCACTCTCCTTTCAGCCTGGAGCTGTGGGGATTTGTGGGATCTTTCAGTGATTTTTTTTTTTTTTAATCTTACTTTGGCTTTCCAGTTGTGGAAGGAAAAAATACTTTGCCACCAGCGAGATTTTTTGGCAAGGATTTGTCTAATATTTATCTGTTTCTGTCCAATCTGGTCAAAGTTAAATTGATTATCGCTGTTTTCATGCAGGGCAGAGCTAGATAAAATTAGTGTAAATAAAAATGAGTGCAAACAGCCAGTTTTAAAGCATTTTCTGAAAGATCCCGTTTGCTTCCTCTTTGACTTAATGTGAGTTTTTTTATTTCTTAGGGAGTGGAGGCAGAGCTGGGCAATGGGCTGTGCATCTCCATCTGCTGCTGGGACACACGAGTGTTTGGAGAACTACTTAATCCACACTGGAAATTGAAAGGTAAACGTTAAATATTTAACAAGCTAAACTCATAATATTAGCTAAGAGGGGTCATCTTATTTGTGGCTATAAACTAATTTGTTTACAAGGCAGAAAGCATCAACTTCCACCCATGTTGGTCTTAAGCAGTTGCTAAACTCCTGCTAATGGATGCAATTTAGTCCTGATACTTCTCGGAGCCCTGTGTTAGCATTTGGCAAACATTTATTGCAAAAAAGGTGTTTACTCTGGAGATTGGTTTGGGATGTTTCCCTTTCCCTTCCTCATCACCAGGAGCATAAACTCAGTGGCTTTGAATATTAACCCCATGGGGGTTCTCATTTGTTTTTCCCGATTTTCTCTCGTCTTTTGTGGTATAAAAAGGAAATAAAATAGAGTGGAAGAAAATAGAAGCAAATAAAATAACCATTTTCAAGGAGAAGCTGAAGTGGGGGATGACAAACCTTAGAGCACTGAGTGCACCCATGGAGTTACCTTGTTACCCTTAACCTACACTGAAAATTTTTGTTTAAAAAGAGTGGTTTTATTCATGATAAAAGCTCTATGTAAGACTGATGGTGCAAATTGGTCCCAAAACCTCCTAAATTGGAGAATAATGTGAGTATAAAGCAGAGCTGAGGGTTCCTGGCCTTGTTGTTGATGGTGGCTGAGTTGAGGTGTGAGGGAGCTGCCTCCCAACAGAGGAGGAAAACCCTAAAAATGGTCCCTTTTTCCCTCACTTCAGCCTGGATTTGCTCCTCAAGCTTCAATATTTGATGACATGTGTTATTTTGGGTTATTTTTGGCCTTTTGCCTGTGGTTTTGGGTCAGATCTGGATGGGCTACGACCTTTAGGCCAAAGGATGGGCCAGGCTGTGGCCTCCGCCATGACCCCTCTCCCCCAAGCTACCAAACTTCATGGCTTAAGGGCTGAAATGGGGGATCTGCACCCCAAAACCTACAGAAAATTAACAGAGGATGTCTCACAGTTGATGATACTCACACAAAATACTTTATCAGCCGTTTTTTACCTCACGGAAATCCCCTCTCCACAAACACCCCCGGCTGGGCGCCCACAGCAAGCTCTGAGGGAGCAGCAGGGGATGGGGGTGTGGGGGTCACCGAACCCTGTGTCTCTGAGGGGGAAAGAAACCCCACAGCCACCATTTTTTAAATTATTATTATTAAAATTCAACTCTTCAAAGCCTTATTCCAGTCAAATGTTGCTAGCTATTTTGGTTAAAAGGGGTTTTGGTCCTAGGAGCAGAGGCGGGTGTGTACAGGCAGCACAGCTGTGTTTGGGAGCCTCAGAAATGTTGGCAAATATTAAAACCAACACAGCAAGTTTCTCTTTGATAGCTGCCAATGCAGCCACAGACGCGTTGGAGGGAGGAAATTATCACAGACAACAACAGCACGCCCCTCCAGCCGTGTTTCGTTCGTGTTATTGGCAACTTTTTGCCCTTTTTAGGTGAATTTATGCGAATTTTGTCTAATAATGATTTTCCCGCCTTTTTGCCTGCGGCCCCCTTTAGGCGCGCGGGAGGGGGGAAGGGGCGGGGCGCGAGCTGCTCTCGCGCGGCTTTTCCCGCCCACGCTGTCCCCGCCCATCCTGAATATTTAAATTTAGCCACGCCCCCTCCGCCATAACGGGAACCTCCGCACTCGCTCGGCCACGCCCCTTAATGAATAATCAATGAGGGAGCTGATGTGATTTGGCGGGAGGGTCCGGCGGGGCGAGGAGACACCGGGGGTCCTCAGGGGTGACCCGGTGTCCTCGGGTACATGGGGTGTGGCAGGGCAGGTGTGGGCGTGTCCCGGGGCGGGGAGGCTCAGGTGTGTGGGGCGCCACAGGTGTGGGGTAGGGCAGGGATGGGGTGGCACAGGTGTGGGGTACGGCAAGGGCGGGGTGGCACAGATGTGGGGTACCTTGGATGTGGGGTTCAGAAGGGATGGGGTGCCACAGGTATGGGCGCTGCCAGAATGGGGTTCCACAGGTTTGGGGTTCCACAGGTGTGTTGGGTGTCACTGGGTTTTGGGGTATCACAGGTGTGATCCCACAGGAATGTCACCAAACCCATCTCCATCCTTCATCTCCCACCTTCATCTCCATCCCTCATCTCCAACCTTCATCTCCAACTTTTACCTCCATCCCTCATCTCCATCCCTCATCTCCAACCTTCATCTTCAGCCTTCATCTCCACCCTTCATCTCCAATCCTCATCTCCAACCTTCATCTTCAGTTTTCATTTCCATCCTTCATCTCCAACCTTCATCTCCATCCTTCATCTCCATCCCTCATCTCCAACCTTTATCTCCAACCTTTATCTCCAACCCTCATCTCCAATTTCATCTCCAGCCTTCATCTCCAACCTTTATCTCCATCCCTCATCTCCAACCTTTATCTCCAACCTTTAAACAACTCTAAAATTTATTTTTATCAATTTTTTTATCAATTCTGTTTCAGGAGCAGCTCACTCTGAGTAACTGCAGAGTATTTTTTGTCTCCCAGGACAGCAGCTGGAGTTCCTGGGAGAATTTTCCTTCCTTGCTGCTCCAAAAGCAGCTCCCATACGATGGCAGCAGAGGCCTGCAGCTGCTCTGAAGGAATTTTTGCTCAGTATTTTTATTTTTTCCTCAGTATTT